TTTTTTTAAGATGGAATCTCACTCTGTTGCCCAGGCTGGAGTGCAGTGGCGCGATCTTGGCTCACTGCAACCTCCACCTCCTGAGTTCAAGGGATTATTCTGCCTCAGCCTCCTGAGTAGCTGGGATTACAGGCGCCCACTACCATGCCCAGCTAATTTTTGTATTTTTAGTAGAGATGAGGTTTCACCATCTTGGCCAGGCTGGTCTTGAATGCCTGACCTCATGATCCACCCGCCTTGGCCTCCCAAAGTGCTGAGATTACAGGCGTGAGCCACCATGCCCGGCCTCCCTAAAACTTCAAATCGTATCACTAGTAAGATTAATGATGAGGCTAATGTGTTTCACAGATCCTATCAATTTGTTGTAAACTCAATGTAAGATAAATTTTGAAGATTTTAAATAGTAGCATGTCATAAAGCTAGCACTATAATTACCAAGATTAGTTGGTCAGAGAGAAGTGGAGAAAGGGGGAGAATAAGAAATTTTCACTTCATCTTTATCCTTGAATAAATGGAAAGAATACTCTGATTCTTAGTGACTACTCGTTTTAAAATGTAGACTTTATTATTCAGGTACGGTGAGGCTAAAAGATCAGGAGATAATTGCCCCTGAAGAAATAGTGTGTTATTCGTAGTTCCCAAGAAGAAGGGGCCCACCGTGCTACACAGGATCACATAGGGAAGCACCAGGGTCAGTCAGGAGGTGGGAGAGTGAGGGGAAAACATGGGCAGGAGCCTTTAGTGTGATTTCTAAAGGAAGGAATGTGTAAGGCAGGGTAAGCAGGCTTAGGATCGGCTAGTTTGAATAATTTTAGTGGGCTCTGGGATATAGGGGCTGTCTCTAGTTATCAGGTGCCTGGTCCTAGGGTGATTACAGCAAGTGGGTAGTGGTCCAGAGTGCAAGAGCCCAGTGAAGGAGGTTGTTGGGGTATGGGCTCTGGACTCTGGATTGGTTTGCATATGAAAGGCATGCATACATAAGTTGTTTACTATCTCTGTGAATTAGCCCGGGAGGGGTTGTCCCTCCAGTGTTAACCAGACCCTAGATGTCAAAGCATCAGAATAAAGACACGCTTAATACGCTAGTAATAAAGAAATGGGAGAAGGAAGGAATACCTACTTACATTAATCCAAGTTAAATATGCAGTTGGCGATGTTCAAATCCTAACATAAATCTTAGGAATTTAGAAATTGGGACTGGGCGCAGTGGCTTACACCTGTAATCCCAACACTTCGGGAGGCCAAGGCACGAGGATTGCTTGTAGCCAGGATTTCAAGACCAGTCTGAGGAACATAGTGAGATCCCATGTCTACAAAAAACGTTTAAAAAATTAGCCAGCTGGGGTGGCATGCACATGTAGTCCCAGCTACTTGGGAGGCTGAGGTGGGAGGATCGCTTGTGCCTGGGAGGTTAAGGCTGCAGTGAGCCATGACCACTTCACAGCACTTCAGCCTGGGTAACAGCAAGACCCTGTCTCAAACAAACAAACAAACAAAAAATAGACAAAAAATTTAGAAATCTTTTTAAACCCAAACTCTTCAACTACACATGTGCTTCTGGTGATTTTTGGCTGGAGGGCATTGACACAAATTACTTCTAGTCCATCTGCTTTCTACCTTCCAAAATTTTGTTTCAAGTGTTACCTCTCCTATTCTTTGTTCTTATTAACTGTGTGCCTTAAAAAAAAAATTCCTTTACTTTCATTTTAGCAGAGTTTTAGGAAGGAGTAAAGACTGCCCTTTCATCAGAAGTCCAATTTCTTTAACATTTTTTAAAATGTGGTATGATGCTTCTGTATAAATTTTTATTATATGGTAGATAATGTATAAAATGGAATTTTATAAATTTATTGTATTTTATGTAGAAAAGAAAGTAGAAGGAGTTTATACTAATGCCAGGAAGCAATTGCTCATTTCTGCTGTTCCAGCTGTCCTAATTCTCCATCTGAAAAGATTTCATCAGGTAAGTTTCTTCAGTAGCACCATAATTTTCATCATGTGTTTTACAAAACTTTAAGTCCTATAGAATATTGTCAAGGATTAGACAGTAACCAGTAACTTACTGAATTTTAAAATGTGTCATGTGAGATTTACTGCTCATCTAGCCATAATAGTTAATGAGACTTTCCTGATTAAAATTGTTTAATTCACAATATTTGAAAATTTAGGCAGCAGGAACCTAAATGGTATCTCCATGTATGTTTGTGTGGTAACAGAAAATAAGTTTTGTGGCCGGGCATGGTGGCTCCCTCAGTCTTTGGGAGGCCGAGGTGGGCAGATCACCTGAGGTCAGGAGTTCAAGACCAGATGGAGACAAAAGTCTTGCTCTGTCGCCCAGGCTAGAGTGCAGTGGCTCAATCTCAGTTCACTGCAACCTCTACTTCCTGGGTTCAAGCAACTCTCCTGCCTCAGCCTCCCAAATAGCTGGAATTACAAGTGCCTACTACCACACTGGCTAATTTCTGTATTTTTAGTAGAGATGGGATTTCACCATGTTGGCCAGGCTGGTTTCGAACTCCTAACCTCAAGTGATCCACCTGCCTGGGCCTCCCAAAGTGCTGGGATTACAGGCGTGAGCCACCATGCCCGGCCCATACAATTTTCAAATAAAAATTTTAATTGTATAAAACAAATTATCAAGAAAACAAGGAGAAAACTTAAATGATTTTTTGGGGGTGGGGGTGGGGGAGGGAATCTCCCTCTGTTGCCAGGCTGGAGTACAGTGGCACATTCTCAGCTCCCTGCAACCTCAGACTCCTGGGTTCAAGCGATTCTCCTGCCTCAGCCTCCCGAGTAGCTGGGATTACAGGTGTGCACCACCACACCTAGTTGATTTTTGTATTTTTAGTAGAGATGGGGTTTCACCATGTCGGCCAGGCTGGTCTTGAACTCCTGACCTCAGGTGATCCACCTTGGCCTCCCAAAGTGCTGGGATTTTAGGCGTGAGCCACTGCACCTGGCCCTTAAATGAATATTTAACTTGACCTCTGTGTGAAAGACTTTCTAAATATAAAAGCTAATAAGGAAATCTCAAGGAAAACTATTGATAGTTTACATATTTGCAACATTTTAGGTGGAATCCAGATGTGCGAGAAGAGATTTTTCTCCATTCTGCCATCCCTGTCCACAGATTAAGTTCTGGATTCTTCCATAGTCAAGGTTATAGAAACTCAATGGAACTGAAATGGCATAAAAAACAGAAGCAGATGTATTATATCTTGTCATATCAGAGCGCCTAATGGAAAGGGTACATCTGCAGTGATTCTGTGTGAATAAGAGAGGATAATGCCAGATTGCAGAAGCTAATTTCATGATGCACCACAGTTATTTTATATTTGGTACTTGCATCCCTGTTTAGAAACAACTTACAGAAATAATTCTTGCCCTTAAAGGGAAATATTTATGGACATCCATCTAGGTCCCTTTTTCTCTCAAGCTAAATATAATGTCAGCAAAGCCACATTCTTATTCCCAGGGTTTGGGCATTATAGGGAGCAGAGTCCCTAAGCAATGCCTGTGTTTCTAGTTCATTGACATCCCTGAAAGCCTTCTCTATGGTAGCTTTAGGGCTGTATATCAGAAACATCCACAACACTTAAATGCAAATCTGAAACTGGATAGAGATCTTTGTCATAAAAATGCCAAATTTTTAACGTTGTAAGTATATAAAGAGTCTTAAAGATCAATAAGAAAAATATCAGACCCTAATAGTAAAATGGGAAAAGAATATCAACTGACAGTTCTGGAAGTACAAAGTTCAGGCAAGTATAAAAAAGGTCCATCCTTCCCAGCAAAAGAAAGGCAAAAAAAAAAGGCAGGTTCTTTTTTCAACCTGTCCAAATTAGCAAAGATATAGTAGTGTTAATAAGGATGACCTAAGATACATTTTCATTTACCAGCATTGGGAGTGTAAGTTGGTAACACCTACTAGAAAGCAATTTAGTAATGAATATGAAGAACATTGAGTAATTTTTTTTTTTTGAGATGGAATTTCGCTTTTGTCGCCCAGACTGGAGTGCAATGGCGTGATCTCAGCTCACTGCAACCTCCACCTCCTGGGTTCAAGTGATTCTCCTGCCTCAGCCTCCTGAGTAACTGAGATTACAGGCACCCACCACCACGCCTGGCTAATTTTTGTATTTTTAGTAGAGACAGGGTTTCACCATGTCGGTCAGGCTGGTCTTGAACTCCTGACCTCAGGTGATTCACCCACCTCAGCCTCCCAAAGTGCTTGGATTACAGGCATGAGCCACTGTGCCCAGCCGAGTAATGTTTTAAACAAAACAATTTTTGAACAAAGCTAATGACTCTTGACTAAGTAAGAACCTACCACAAGGAAATAGAGATATACATAAAAATGTTTGTGTGTCTCACTCAAGTTATGCCAGACGTAAGGCCTAGCTTAAATGTCCAATGTGCAGGACATCAGATTTATATTTTAATATGGAAAATGCAGTATATCATTCTATTAAAGGGAAAAAGGCAGGAGACTGTAGATGCAAATATAAGTCTAGATATTTTCCAAAAATTACCACCTAAAAAAAGATTCGTCTTATATTAAAGTCCTTCACACAGTCTCTCGTATGATGGGGTAATTTCTCAACAGCAAAGTACTGACTGAGGAGAACACAAAAGCCTGAAATGATCTCAGACAGTGCTGGTACTGGGTGCTTATAGAGGTCACCTGATGAAAAAGGCAAAGAAATTGAATGTAGATTAAATATTCCTGGGATATGACCTCATAATTTCATGTCAGCTATTTTCAAGCCTTCTAAAGATCACTTGAAAAAACAAATCAGTAAGTGGCTACACTTTGGCAAAAAAATAAGTGTTTTTTGTCTTTAAAGAAAGATAAGCAATAAAAAAGCAACAGATCTACAGTAAAATTGTGATTAGTATGCAAATGAAAGATCAGTCATTGACATCATGAAAGGTTGCCTCTTTTAGTTTTTGTCTACCCATTCATTTCGGATTTAGGTATCTTCTCATTCCAACAGAGTCCATTTCTATTTACGGGCCTCCTCAATACCTTTGGTATTTTATTAGCTAGTTTTTATTACCATTACATAATGCAAAGCATACACTTTTTAAGGTTTACCTCTGAAAATTAGAAAAAGATAGCATATTTAAGAACATAAAAGTACAATTTTATTTATGTAATATATAGCATTTACTTTTACTGGTATAATGTTTTGAATGTTCAGGTTGTTTGTTTGTTTTAATGAATGAATATAATTGAATTTTAGAACTGAAAAAGACCTAATCTCATCCTTTTATACCTGGAATCAAGTTGACAACCAGTCACTGAGTTAGGCCTAGAACACCAATCTCCTTACTCTTTAGTTGAATATATTTTCATGATAGCATGTGTGTCAGTAGCTTAGCTTTTATATTGAATTTATTTTTCCATAAGCGTTGAAAAGCCACAGTGAAAGTAACTATTCCCCCTATTGTTTGTGGTAAAAATCCCCACATAAATGAATCTTTGCAGTAACAATTTATGAAACCTAATTTTTAATTTAGTCATATTAATTTTAGACTATTCATTAGTCACATTTTTATCTATGAAAAAACTGCTACAATTTCTCTGTTGGTTTTAGTTAAACACAGTGCTTTAGATCTAATTGTTTGTTGCATTTCAAAAATGTTTTGGTCTTTTTAAGGCTGGCTTGAGTCTTCGTAAAGTAAACAGACATGTAGATTTTCCACTTATGCTCGATTTAGCACCATTCTGTTCTGCTACTTGTAAGGTACAGTATATTAAGATATTTAATTGATTTATAAATTAATATGCTTGAAAGTATCCTATATATTATTAGGCAATGCTTTTTCTTTAAAAAAAAAAAAAAAAAGACTTCTCTTCTGAAAGGGAATTTTAATAGCCAGTGATTAAGTCAGTAATATGTGGAACATTTAATACACTGAATATGATTTTTGTCCTGTGGGAGACAAAATAAAGGAAAATTGAAAAGGTAAGGCATGAGGCATGATGGTTATGAAGGTCTAAGCTGTTTGTAACTGCTACTGAAGCTGATGGTTGCTGAGAGAAGTGAGGTTTTGTGTCCTCTCGTTCCTTGTGAACTGTTTAATCAGTAGTAGTATTACCATTTGCGGAGTTCTGTATCTTGCAAATCAATATAGTAGTGAATTGTCTTTTGTGCCACTTCATGTGTACTACTGAGAATAATGTACTTGTCAGTGGAGTATGATACTTCAAAACTGCTGCTACTGTAATAATTAGGTACAGAAAGCAGACTAGTTTATCATTGCTTATTTTACATGTAAGAATTGTGTAGATGAAGTAGATGACTTTGTCTTCCTTGAGGGAAGCAGTTATGGGGTAACATATTGTCCTGTTCATGATTACTGGCTAGAAGTCTAGATTTTGTGGTATGTAATAGAATGCCTATTGAACTTAATACTTTCAGTACATGATAGTTAAAACAAAAATATCTTAAATGTAATTTTTGGTTGAATTACAGTGTATCTGCTGTGGAATACCAGCACTATCTGTCGATTATTAATACTCAGTATTCCTAGAATTTGATAATGTGGTAAATAATAATGAAATTTAACAAGCTCTGTGTTAAATTTATAAAAACATATTTTTAAAAAGTACCTATTACGGAGAATTTCCAATATACACAAAAGCAAATAGAATAGTACCATGAACTTCCAGCACCCAGCCCTAAACCCTTACATCCATGGCCAGTCCCGCCCTATCCACACACTAATTCACTTTCTTCTTCTTATTTTGAAGCAAACATCAGAAATAATTTCACCCATAAATATTTCACTATGTATCTCTAAAAGATAAGAATTGCTGCCTCTCCACTTTTTAACATAACCACAGTATCATTTAATAATTCTGTCATATCACCTAGTGTTCATATTTTCAATTGTCTCATAAATGTGATTTTTAAAATGAATTAGTATCCAGATAAGTACTGGATCTGTTGTTCATTTGTGCGATTTTTAATTTTCACTTTTTGGAATTTCTTTTAAAATTTAATTTTGTTTAATTACATAAAATATTTATATAGGTCCAAAGTCAAATGTACGTAAATAAGGTAAATTCAAAGATGTCTGGCTTTTCGCCACGTCATTCTACCTGTTTGCTCCTTCTCCCTGTAGGTAACCATTTAAAAAATTATGGCTTATTCTTTTATTATTTAAATATAAGCAGATAGGCATGTATATTTTCATCTACCCTCTTAAATAATGGTAGCTGACACTGTGTATCCTTTTTTCTGCCTTACTCTTAACATTACATCCTAGAGCTTATTCCATAGCAGCATTTAGAGATCGTCTGCACTCCATTTTTCAAGAAGCATAATACTCTATTGTGTGGATACATCATAGTTTATTCAACCAGTCCCCAATTTACAGACATTTTAATTCCAGTGTTTTGATATTACAGATAATCCTGCAATTAATAGTGTGGTACATGTCTTTTAACATTTTGCTCATGTATTTGTGGGATCAAATCCTAGAAAAAGGATTAATGAATCCAAGAGTAATACATATACAACTCAGCCTGATAACATCAAATATCCCTGCATAGGTCAGGCACAGTGGCTTACGCCTGTAATCCCAGCGCTTTGGGAGGCCAAGGCACGTGAATCACCTGAGGTCAAGAGTTTGAGACCAGCCTGTCCAACAAAGTGAAACCCTGTTTCTACTGAAAATATAAAAATTAGCTGGGCGTGGTAACAGATGCCTGTAATCCCAGCTACTTGGGAAGGTGAGGCAGGAGAATCGCTTGGGATGGCGGAGGTTGCAGTGAGCCAAGATCATGCCATTGCACTCCAGCCTGGGTGACAGAGCAAGACTCTGTCTCAAAAAAGAGAGAAAAAAAAGAAATATCCCTGCATAGGGATTGTACCCTTTGCATTCCCATATGCAATATGTGTGAGTGCTTTTTCCCCACAAATCAGCCAACAGAGAACCTTGTTAAGGTTTTTCAATTTTGCCAGCCTAATAGGTATGGAAACTATCTCACTTTTACTATGCATTTTTCTTATGTTAGGCAGATATACATTTACTTACTTTTCCTTACAACAGTATTTAACAGATATTACTAATTTGGGTTTTTTCTTTGTTTAAAAGAATGCAAGCATGGGAGATAAAGTTCTCTACGGTCTCTATGGCATAGTGGAACATAGTGGCTCGATGAGAGAAGGCCACTACACTGCTTATGTGAAAGTGAGAACACCCTCCAGGAAATTATCGGAACATGCCACTAAAAAGAAAAGTGTGCCTGGTATGCCATCCTAAGTTTATTTTTAAAAATGAATGTGTGCTTCCTTTTCTGGGAGAGCTAAGTTATTATTTCATAGATGCCTCTAGTGGATTTGCTTGCTTGCTTTATTTTATTTTATTTATTTATTTATTTAGATAGAGTCTCACTTAGTCACACAAGCTGGAGTGCAGTGGCACAATCTTGGCTCACTACAACCTCTGCCTCCTGGGTTCAAGTGATTCTTACTCCTCAGCTTCCCGAGTAGCTGAGGTTACAGGTGCATGCTACCACGCCTGACTAACTTTTTGTATTTTTAGTAGAGACGGGTTTTCGCAGTGTTGGTCAGGCTGGCCTCAAATTCCTGACCTCAAGTGATTTGCCCGCCTCGGCCTCCTAAAATACTGGCATTACAGGTGTGAACCACCATGCCCAGCCTCAATTGGATTCACCTTAAGTGAGAATTCCCTCTTGTTACAAGTGCTTAGAGAATCTCAAATATTATGAAGACTGTACCCTTCTAGGTCATATGAGATGACATGGTATTTTAAGGTACTGAGTCATTGTGTATTATAGTGGAGTAGCATTTTATCTAACAATACCAAAAGTTTTTGAAGCCATACCAGATTGTCAGAAGAGTTGGAGTTGAAAATTTGCTGGCTTTGTTTATGGGTCATCCAACTAACTTTGCTTTTTTTGTTTTGTTTTTGAAATGAGGTCTCACTCTGTCACCCAGGCTGGATTGCAGTGGCACGATCTCGGCTCACTGCAACCTCTGCCTTCCAGGTTCAAGCGATTCTCCTGCTTCAGCCTCCAGAGTACCTGGGACTCCAGGCACCTGCCACCACACCTGGCTCATGTCTGTTTTTTTTTTTTTTTTTTAAATTAGAGACGGGGTTTCACCATGTTGGCTGGGTTGGTCTCAAACTCCTGACCTCAAGTGATCCACCCACCTCAGCCTCCCAAAGTGCTGGGATTATAGGCATGAGCCACTGCACTGGGCCAGACAGCATTATTAATTATCCCTATAATATTAATGCTTTGAAAGAATTTGTTCTAATGAGAACACATGGACACAGGGAGCGGAATATCACACACTGGGGCCTGTCGGGGGTTGGGGTAGGGGAGGGATAGCATTAGGAGAAATACCTAATGTGGATAACAGGTTGATGGGTGCAGCAAACCACCATGGCACATGTATACCTATGTAACAAACCTGCACGTTCTGCACAGGTATCCCAGAACTTAAAGTATAATTTAAAAAAAAAAATTCGTTATTTTTGGAAAATGCTTAACCCAAGAAAAAACAGACTTCTTAGGTAAAATTTGGCATTAGATAGAGTTTGTAATGAATATGTTATTGTTTGTAATTTAGAGTAAGAACCTAAAGCATACTTACTTTAAAATTGCACTTCTTCTTGTTTTGCTAGGTTTGAAAGAGGCTGATAGTGAATCAGCAGGCCAGTGGGTCCATGTTAGTGACACTTACGTACAGGTGGTTCCAGAATCAAGAGCACTTAGTGCACAAGCCTACCTTCTTTTCTATGAAAGAGTATTATAACTATTAATGGTAATGATTATTTAGGTCATTTGTTTTTGAATGCTGCAGTGATAACTATAATATATAACGTGCCTTTGTAGTCTTCCCTCTTCTGTAGGAAAAGCATGTTCATCAAAGAGTCCTGAACTTTTCCAACATTTTGGTGAACCCTTTTAAAGTAAATTTACTCAATGCTTTAAAATTCATAGTCTTAAAATAAATGTGAATTTTGTTTCCAGGTATTTATTCTGGGTTACAAAAACCTCCCAGAATTTATAGTAGGAAAGGAAACCCCTTTATGATGTGGCTCATTATTACAAGCATTCAGAAATGATGCTGGCTAAGTCAAATCATTCCTTAAGGCAGTGTTTCCTAAATGTAATACCACCTTCCTGAACTCTCACATATTCTGTATCATGGTTATTTTTTTTTAAATATTTTTAGCCTTTTTTAACCTTAGTCTTGTTTTGAGCAATCATATTCCATGTTTTATGTGCTTTTATATTTTTTATAACAAATATTAAAACTATTAAAGAAAAATTGTTTATCCATGTACCACTTAAAATCATCTCAGGGCCATCCAGTGGTATATGTGTACTACCATTTAGGAAACTGCTATAACACATAATTTCATGAAGTAACACCTAATATAGTGTAGTTTCCTTGTCATATTTTATACAATTCAACCATATAAAAGGGTATCACTGTAATTGCAGTAGTTTGGGTTTACAAATAATCTGTTGATTAGCCTATTACTTTGAGGTTTTGAAAAACTAGAAATATGTTGAGGCATTTCATAAACATATCTCTTGCACCCTCTTCCTGGTGGAGTTAAGGATAACTTGCAAGTGGTTGGCCAAGGCCAAATATAGATGATTATAAAATTTAGAATTGGCAATTAGAAGTTGATAATACATATAGGACCATAGGATAGCTTTGAAATATAAATTGCCAAATTATATTTGTAAATGATAGAGAATTATATTAACAGAGAAATGTAATACTTTTTTTACTTCTCGTAAATACTAAACACAGTTTTGGGGTTTTGAAATTACTATTTTTGTCTTCAGCAAGCATCATTAACAAGTTGAGGTGAATTTAGCTTTCATTTTAATGGGACATTAAGCTGGCATTTTTTATTTTTTAAATAAATAATAGCAAAAATATCATTTTTTCCCTCTAAAATACAAATTATTTAGCTGTCAAAACTTGGCATGAAGAATATTACTATTACTTAGGCTTAAATATCAAAAAATAATGGCTACTTCAGTGTCATATTGTTGAAATAGAAACAAAACTGCATGGTTCAAGCATCCTAATCATTAGTGCCAGTGAATGACAGTGCAGGCAAGTGCCGGGTAAATGCCTAGTCCCACTTCATTCTCCTCCTGGGAAAGAAGGATAGTGGCTGCAGATAATGTATGGAAATATTTAATCAAGACTGACTGTCTTAAACACATAAGCATATATAATGTTATCAAGGTTACCAGTGCTGCCTTTTGATATATGGATGAACATAACTGATTAAAGATGGTAATAGTACACAAAATGCAAAGCTTAAAAATGTCATTGCATAAATTCTATTTTTAAGATGTTGAAATGTTAATAGTAGTGTTTTTCTTGATTTTTAACAGTGAAATAATCAAGAAATGTATCTTTAAGTTAATCTGCAAAGTCAAGCTGTGTTCTGTAAAAGGTATTTTACAGCATTTTCCATTTAACTGTAATCCGTTATCATTGGAGATCTCAGTAACAGAGCAGTGAATTTTTTGAAAAATATTGAATGTCTTTATTCAAGTCAGCTATCTTGGTAAGAGCAGTTTTCACCTCCCCCCACAACTGCCCAAATGTAAATATAGGTCACCTAATTTTTCTTACAGAAAACATACTTTTAAGAGGCATGCACTTTTCATCAGATGGTCACTTGTTTCTTGTTTCAAAGATAAATATTTGGATAGATGGCCATACTTGCTATGTCAGTCACAGTGCTGACGCTATTTTAACATCATTTAAAATGGAAAGATCTACGTATATTTTTGACATTATTCCAGAAGTAACATGCAAGTAAGATATTTTTATTTTCATTTTATTCATGTTAAATGAGCTAATTATGAAATTTTTTTATGGCCTAGAGTTTGAGTGCTTTTTCCTTGTCTTCTGAAAAATGGAATAAATTCAAGTTTTAATACTTAAGAATTTGCTAAATATAGCTTTTGTAACAGAGAAAGCATGTTAAATTACACATGGGTCTACATTAAAATTTTTGTTTTTATTTTGAATATTTCCAAAGCACATTTGCAGGGACAGTAAATTGCGAGGCTACTAATAATAACAACAATAGTTTCTGGATCACTTCAGGAAACAGTATAAATAAATAAGAATGTTTACATATCATCGACATAACTACCATAGTGTTGGAATGAATTAAAGTAAAACAAGTTTCACTAGCTTTATTTAGAAACTGGTTTACCCCAGCTTCCCATTTTTTTCCAAATATAAAAAAAAAAAAATTGTTTGCCAATACTGTATCATTTAATGCTTTTAAAACTTGTGAAGACCACCTTTTTAGGTAGCTGAGAAGAGTGATAGTTGGTATCAATTTATTAGAAAGGCATGGTGGCTCATGCTGTTGGGAGGCTGAGTGGGGAACATCGCTTGAGCCCAGGAGGACAAGGTGCAGTGAGCCATGATCACGCCACTGCACTACTGCCTGGTGACAGGGTGAGACCCTGCCTCAAAAATAAAAAGAAGACAGTTGGTATCAACTCAAAGAATAGTTGATGCTTATTCTCCTATTTTAAATGTACCAATAGAGCTATTTTACTATATTTAATAGTTCTTAGCTTCCATGTGTGATGATTTTAATCAGTGATTTTATGCAATAGCAGAATAAAATTTTCTGAAGATTAAGCTGTGAAATGTATCAACCCTCATCTAATTTTTGCAGTACAAAATAACATGCTGATTCCTTTTAAAAAATTCATGTTTGTAATTTATTTTTCTGCATGTATTGATCAAATAAGCCTAAATCAAATATGTGCAATAAAATTGAGCCTTTAGATAGTATCTAGTACATTGTTAAAAAAAATACTATTTCTAGATATTTATGATGTTTTTGTTTATGTAGAAATCATGAATTCAAATCTGTTTAAAAGATGACTATATTTTCAATTTTGAGTAATAAATTTATACTGTTATTCCTACTGTTTTTTCTTTTGCCATGTTTCTAGAAAATAGCTGTGTAACTTATTGAGCATTATTTTGATGTTACTGTATAAAACATGCATAATAAATATTCTTATTTATTTTATGTTACAAGATTGGTCCTGGAATTTTCGCAGTTTGTGTTATTGACAGAATGCTTTATCTATCAACAATGCATTTGCTTATGTCTTAGTCCACTCAGGCTGCTATAAAAAAATACCATAAACTAGGTGTGTATTAACAGAAATTCACTTCTCACCGTTCTGGAGGCTGGGAAGTTTAAGATAAAGGTGCCAGTAGACTTGGGGTCTGATGAGGGCCCACTTCGCTTCATAAAGACAGCACCTTCTTGCTGTGTCCTCACATGGGAAAAGTACAAGGCATCTCTGTGGGTCCTCTTTCATGCAGCCCATTCACGAGGGTTCCATCCTCCTGACCTAATCACTTCTCAAAGGCCCTATCTCCAAATACTATCACACTGGGGATTTGTGAATGTTGTAGGGGACATAAACCTTCAGTTCATAGCAGCTTTCTCAGCTATATTCAAAATATCCTACATATTTTAGAAATTCTTTATTTCAAAACAAAATATCTTATGGGCCACTTTCACTCAGATTTCAGTATCTACCAAGGATGATCATCTTCCTTTCAGGGGTTTCTTAAAAGGTTACTTAGACAGGATAATTATTTAAAAGGGTAAGGTCCTGCACCAGCAATTAAGAAATATTTTGCCTACCCATTTGTGTCTAAACTTCTTTCAGGTAATGAAGCTCTCTGAGATTATGATGAAAGTTAAAGACCATCTTTTGTTTGTTTAGTCATTTAGTAAGTATTTGTTAGGCCAGGCACGATGGCTCATGCCTGTAATCCCAGCACTTTGGGTGGCCAAGGTGGGTGGATCACCTGAGACCAGGAGTTCGAGACCAGCCTGGCCAACATGGTGAAACCCCGTCTCTACTAAAAATACAAAAATTAGCTAGGCATGGTGGCACATGCCTGTAATCCCAGCTACTTGGGAGGCTGAGGCAGGAGAATTGCTTGAACCCAAGAGGCAGAGGTTGCAGTGAGCCAAGGTCGTACCACTGCACTCCGGCCTGGGTGACAGAGACTGTCTCAAAAAAAAAAAAAAAAGTATTTGTTGGATACCTGTTGTGTGGTAGGTACTAGGGATACAGCAGTCAACATAAGAGCCAGAAATCTAAGAGGTGAGGAAATACACATTCTAAGAATGTAAGGAAAATTTATGTTAATAGTAATGATATGGAGAAAAATCAAGCAATATGGACTCCCTATGAAGCCATGTGGAAATTAAGATACAGGGGATGAAGATATCCTAGAGATAAAAGGCATGGTGATATTAGTACTGATATTCCCCGAAGAGAAAGCTGAGTGTTGTAGGAAGAATGGGGTTTTAATTCTGGGGCCCTCTCTTCTGGCAATATAGAGACTGAGAAGGGAAGTCTTAACATCTGTATGTTCCCAGAAAAATGTATCTCCCTAATTTTTGCATGTAATTTCGAAGGTTCATGGACACTTCTAAAGCCATTTCATACATATTTTAAATTGCACCCAAGAAGAAATATCTGAGATGTTTGCATTCCCATATGTATTAGGATAGGCTGAGCTGTGCTGCAGTACAACCCCAAATCCCAGTGGCTTAACACAAAAGTTACTTCTGGTGCATCCAAAGTTCACTGTGAGTCTGCACAGTCTGCAAAGGCAACTGTCCTCGCAACTGGTGATACTCGTAATCCAAACTGATTCAGTCTGTGGCTGTACCATTTCAATATGAGGTCTCCCCATTGTGGCAGAAGAATACAGCATTAAAAGATCTTGCCCCAGCAATTACTCATCTTGGATGTGTCTCTGACAACCCATTGGCCAGCAGTAATCATATGACCCTGCCTAATTGCAAGGAAAGATGGGTAGGAAAGAGTCTCCCATGGGCTTATAGGAAAAGGAGAATGAGATATGTGAATTTGACAGAAGTCTCTACCACAATCCACCCCTCGGTCACCAAATAGGTTTTTTTTTTTTCCTTTGTACACAGTGACTCTTAAGGGACAGGGCCCAAAAGTCCCATCAAGGTAAAAGTTTTATCCTCCAAGACCAGGCTCTCTGGAAGTGCTATATCAGGTTTGGATGTTTGCTCCCACTGTTCTGGAGACCCAGGAACCAAAAGGATATGTTCTGTTTTCCACATACTTAATGTACAGTGGTGGAACTGTATCCGCAATAAACATTCAGAATGGGTAAGAATGGGAGATACTGTTAGTATCCCTAAGTCTGGGTATGGGGCATATTCATGATTAGGCTCCTTTTCTATCTCCTAGGAAGAATTCCCTTGTGTGTTGTTCTCTGACTCTAGACTCCATCCTCTGGGAAAGTTTTTTTTTTGTTTCTTAAATCTTCATGGCTACATCTGAACAGCTACTGAGGAATATATATATGCCAACTTTGGGAGTTACAAAGCTTTTATTGAGACTATTTCTTAGATGACTGGGGACTGTAATTTCTCTTAATTTGGAATAGCCACAAGTTGTTTTGGCCACAATTTGTGTGTGTTTTTAATACAATTCTTAAAATTTTAGGTTTTTCATCCATAGATTCATATGCCAGCAGCCACACCAGAGTTTTTTTGTCACATAGTTCTTGGGCTTGCTATATTTCTTTGCTTTCCTGCCCCCACACCTCACTTTGCGACAATTACAAGATTTGATGAGAGAGACATACTATACTCTTTGTTTTGAGACAGTCTTGCTCTGTCACCCAGGCTAGAGTGCAGTGGTGTGATCTCCATTCACCGCAACATCTGCCTCCCGGGTTCAAGCAATTCTCCTGCCTCAAGTTCCCGAATATCCGGGATTACAAGCGCCGGCGACCATGCCAGGCTAGTTTTTGTATTTTTAGCAGAGACGATATTTCACCATGTTGGCCAGGCTGGTCTTGAACTTCTGATCTCAAGTGATCCACCTGCCTCGGCCTCCAAAGTGCTGGGATTACAGATGCGAGCCACCACACCCCGCTGAGAGAGACATACTCTTAATTACATTTTCACCCTCAGGCTTTTTTTTTTTTCCCAAGAGGAAAAAATGAAGGTTCCACATCTTTAATTAATCCATTGAAAATTTCTCCAAAATGGATATAAAGTTTACATCCTTAGTTATATTTGTTGCAAGCCTGAGTTTTAATAATCCTTTGTCACTTAAAAGCTTTCTCAAGTTTATTTTGGATTGCCTGTATTCCCTCTTGTTTCAGCTTTCATAAGTCAATTCTTTTTTCCTGAGCCCTTCTCTTTCTTTTTTTTTTTCTTTTTTTTTTTATTATTATTATTATACTTTAAGTTCTAGGGTACATGTGCATAACGTGCAGGTTTGTTACATATGTATACTTGTGCCATGTTGCTGTGCTGCACCCATCAACTCCTCAGCACCCATCAACTCGTCATTTACTTATAATACCTTGTCTAGTGCATCCAAAACACCCACCACACACTAGTATCTGGTTTTTAAACCTCTTCCCCTAGCTCAAAATTCATTATGTACATTATCTGCCTCCCAGATTATCATTGGTAAGTTATATCAAATGCTTTATTGCTACATAATGTGAAGTGCCATGTTTCGAGCCTCCAATATTAGTTTTTTCTGCCAATCAATCCTAAGCTAATGCTTTTTATTTTAGGTTCTTTGTTTCAGCAGCACTCAACTCCTGTTACCAGTGTCTGTATTTGTCTCAAGATAGGTTAGTCTTATGCTGTATTATCAAATGAACCCGGAATCTCAGTGGCTTATCTCATGGTCGTTACAAAGTCCTTTACAGATCTGAGGATCTTCCTGGAAACTGTTTCCCATGAAGCAACTCAGTTATCCAGGCTGACAGAGGATTTCCCAACCTGTAGCTGCACTGTCTGAAACATGGTGTATTATGTGAAACATGCAGCCTGAGGACGGTGCACCAACTCTTGTAAGTGTACTTCATTACTCACCCCACAATGAATTGGCCAGAACTAATTGATAAAGTACTCCCTAACTTTAAGGGGCTTAGAAATTCAGTCTTCTGTGTAGTAAGCCTGTGGAGAATCATACTGTCGAACACTAGTGATGTTTACTAATAATAATCGTCATACCAGTGAATTAAGTACAGAAACAGTAGTTTGAATCACAAAAGATTTTAGGTAAGAACAGGCAGTCATTGAGCATAAGTTTACCTTACTTTCTCCAACCTGGCCTAAAGGAACAACACCTGCATACAGCCCTATGTGATCTACTGTCAAATAACTAAAGTATTATTTTATATCCTCATATTTCATTATGCCAGATTCACTACTTTCTAGGAAATGCTTAAGTAACTATATTAAGAATCACAGAGTAGGACGGGTGCGGTGGCTCACACCTGTAATCCCAGCACTTTGAGAGGCCGAAGCGGGCAGATCATGAGGTCAAGAGATTGAGACCATCCTGGCAAACATGGTGAAACCCTGTCTCTACTAAAAATACAAAAATTAGCTGGGCGTGGTGGCACGCACCTATAGTCCCAGCTACTTGGGAGGCTGAGGCAGGAGAATCGCTTGAACCCAGGAGGCAGAGGTTGCAGTGAGCCAACTGCGCTCCAGCCTGGCAACAGAGCGAGACTCCATCTCAAAAAAAACAAAACAAAAAAAGTTGTAATTTGTACGGATGTGCCTGTAGCATACTAGCTTTAAATATTTTTCATCCTCCATTGTATTATGTGGTAAAATATATACATCATCGAATTTACCACTTTAACCATTTTTAGGTGTATAAGTAGTGTCATTAAGTGCATTCACATTGTTGTGCAAATTTCACCATTCATTTCCAGAATTCCTTCATCATCCCAAACGAAAACTCTGTACCCATTAAATAGTAACTTCTCATTCCCCCCTTCTCCCAACTCCTGGGAACTCTATTCTACTCTCCATCTGTGTGAATTTGCCCATTCTAGGCACTTCATATAAGTGAAATTGTACAATATGTGTCCTTTTGTGTCTGGTTTATTTCATCTTGCATGTTTTCAAGGTTTATCCATATTGTAGCATGCATCAGAATTTCATTCCCTTTTAAGGCTGAGTAATATTCAATTGTATATATATACCACAGTTTTAAATTTTTATTAAGTTTTAAGATGGATGTGATATGGCACCTAATAACACTATAAAGGTTCAAATCTCAAGAAACAGCAATAGTTCCTATTTCGATATATTTTCCGCATATCATCTTAGCTTATTTCCATTTTGCTTTAAGGATAATTTGTTTCTGTAATAATGGAAGGTGACATATCCTCCCCTAGAATTTTCTACTTCACTCCATTCATTCATTCATTCGTTCATTCATTCATTCATTCATTGAGACAGTCTCGCTGTGTAGCCCAGGCTGGAGTGCAGTGGCGCGATCTTGGCTAACGACAACCTCTGCCTCCTGGGTTCAAGTGATTCTCGTGCCTCAGCCTCCTGAGTGGCTGGGACTACAGGTGCGGGCCACCACATCCAGCTAATTTTTGTATTTTTTTGTAGACAGTTTTGCCACAGTGGCTAGGCTGGTCTCGGACTCCTGGCCTCAGGTGATCCACCCTCCTTGGTCTCCCAAAGTGCTGGGATTACAGGCGTGAGCCACAGTGGTTGGCCAAATTTTCTACTTCAAACACTGAAAACAGAGAAAGTTAATACAAATTTTAACCTATAAAGTCCCCTGGTTGTTAGTCATTAACAGCAGATTGTCAAATAAGACTGGTAAAATAAGACTGTCAACTAAGACTGCTAAGCATTTGATGATCCAGGTGCAGGATGATCAAACTGCAGCAGATCATGCACATGACAGCTGCTTACATAGAAATTTAACACCACAACACACATTCTTAGAAAATTCTGTGTTGAAATACATATACTTACCTCATGTGTCCATAAGATCATAATGTTATGGGGAACTCTTAGAACAGGGTGGTTAGAGAAAGGGAACTGGAATTGGAACTGTAAAATTCATTTTCAGGTCTGGCAAACAGCAATTGCTGAGGGTGTCTCATTAAACTGGCACAAGGAACAAAATGTGAGGTATTTAATAATCCTCTCCATTTCACAATGCATTTCCAAAATGACTGGCCTACATTAGGATCATTGTTGAACATATTAATGCAATCATACAGCAGATGTAAAAATTTCTGTGTGCAAAGCAGATGCTGGGGACTTGGAGGGCAGAGGTGAGGTAGAAAACCCTTACCCGAAAATTGCCTCACCTTTACTAGGGAAACAAGCAAACAATTACAATATGATTATAGGGAGTAGGAACACGACAGTTTCACTAGGACAATCGGGTTTCTCTAAGATAGAACATTCCTCTGATGAGAATGTTTCTCAGAGAATTTAACTTGAAAATCAGACCTGATGCAAAAAACTTGGAAAATGCACAAAATCACAGAGCAGAATCAGAGATTACTGATAACATGTGGTATATATCCTTCTTTTGCTCCATACAGTGGTTTTTATTTATTTTATGCTTTGGGACAGAGACTCACTCTTGCCCACGCTGGAGTTCAGTGGCGAGATCTCGGCTCACTGCGACCTCTGACCCTGGGTTCAAGCAATTTTCCTGCCTCAGCCTCTCTAGTAGCTAGGATTACAGGCACCTGCCACCACGCCCAGCTAATTTTTGTATTTTTAGTAGAGACGGGGTTTCACCATGTTGGCCAGGCTGGTCTCGAACTCCTGACCTCAAGTGATATGCCTGCCTCAGCCTCCCAAAGTGCTGGGATTGCAGGCAGGAGCCACCACGCCCGGCCCATACAGTGATTTTTAAAATCAGACTGTTGAGTAGTCTTATTTGTGCTAAGTGGAAATTAGGGAAAGGGTCAGAGAAATAGGGATTTCCTTTTGCCTTCAGTAGTATCCTCATGAACCTGCGTCATGGTGTTGTCAGGTGTAATCAATGAAGGTTTCTCACAAGATAAAATTTTATTTTGAGGACCACGTCCGTGGATTGGAGGAAAGGCAGATGGTTAGCTAGTGTGGACTTTTATTATAATGCTAATTCAGGAGTATCTGGGTTTCTAGTGCTAAGGAAAACTGAATTTTCAGCAAAGGGCATCTATATTTTCACATCTGTATCTTTATCCATTCAGCTGTGCTCTTACTATTTTGTTTCTACGGTAATTTGCTATTTCTTTTGCATGACAATTCCCAATGAAATAATTTAGATACTTCGTGCACTTTGTCACGCAAAAGTTTTCATGTCACTCTCTGGAAAGGCACTTCCCAGGATGTAGTTAATAAACACTTTATCTTTGGAACATTTCTGTTATCCTTGTCACTTGTAGCTCCTAGCCTGGAAATTGATACTTTTGACACTTGAACGTTGTTCATATAAAAACACTGTGGAATCAACGTACCCTCTTTGAGGAATGGCATTGCATACGTCCTCTTGAGAAGCCATCTTGTAGTTGAAGGAAAGAAGCAGGACGGAAACCAGACTTCCCCGCCCCCGCCACGGTTCCCTAAAGGTCACAGATAATGAAAAACCGAGACTAGTTAAGCGAAGGAGAGATGAGCAAGTGTTCCCGGAAGGGGGCGCGATGTGTTGAGGTTAACAAAGAAAAAGACAGCTGCGGGGTCAGCTAAGGTCTCCGCTTTCGCTACCGACCCAGACTGCTCACCTTCACAAACTCGTTTCCCTCAAGCGGAACTCTCGGCAGCGCTCAAGCGAGAGTATTCCAAGGATGGAATACTCTCGCTTGAGCGCTGGAATACTCTGAGAAGGTTCCAGCCAGATGTTGGACTGCCTGAAATGCCGCTTCCAGCGCACTAAGCAACTTGAACTGCGCTAAGCAACTGGCCTGAATGTTTGGTTTGACCCTGGGGTTCCCCCGTAGTCTGTAAGTGGAGTTGCGAACTCAACCCCTTCTCCAAGGCGGGAGTGTTTCCAGGAGAGAACATACTTCCCCTTGAAGGAAGATCACGTTACTAAAGTAAAAAATTTGAAGGCGCCCTGTGTATATAACACGCTCTTGGCTTTCTGGCCACTCTGAAGATAAAGATGGGTCGGGAATGGCGCCGGCTACATTAAAAAGTAATGTGCAGGAATGGTTCAGTTGCCCGGTGTTGATGGTTTTGCCCATAATAAAAATGGCGCCATAACATGGCAATCGGCACAATCACGTGTTCACAAACCTGGATGAGAGATGGTATGGCTTCAGATGACGAACGGATGTTATTATTCTTTACTTCCGGGTGAGACAAATCGGGCGCCATCTTGTCTTGTTCCCGAAGAAGTAGAAGCATCGAAAGCGTTGGAGAGGTATTACCGGAACGGCGGCGACAAGGGTGTTCCCGAACTAGAGTAGGTAAGTGATGGAGAACAATTACACGTGGGCACTTGCCGGACCATTACAACCCTCTTAGTGTCTGTGGCGACGGTAGCGTAACTTAAAATAGGCTGCGTACGCTGCTTGGCGCGACCGCTGGAACCTCATTCCTTTAAAGCGGTGCAGTCCGCCAGACTTGGTAAATCAGAGCGGTGCTTTCGCTGAAAAGGAAATGTCCCTGTTAAAGAGAGTGGTCACGGCCCCATCTTCTAACAGAGTTTTCTCTCGGACGAGAAGAGACTAAAATTGTTGGGTTCCTGACCGGCCGTTAAACACTGCGCGTGCGCAGTGGGAACCCCCTTGTGGGGAGGGGGTTCGGGGGGCGGAGGAGGCGGGGGCTCCCGACCTGGAGCTTATACCCTTTGAGGCTCCGACTACGCAGGCGCGGTTCCTTAGTTTGTGTTTTTCGGGTGTTCTTACCTAATGATGGACATTATATGTGTTAAGCTTCAATAAAGGAACAGGTAGTATTCGATAATTCAGTTTTTTACCCTGTGGGGGATGGTATCGTCATCTGAACAAATTGAGCACTAGACAAATTTGTTCGTGGGTTGTTAAATTAACATTCTAGCTTAAGATTTTAATTCAACATTAATCTTTTACATCTTTTTACTTCCTCCTGCCCCCAAAGAAAACAAAATAAACTTGGAATTCCTCATTTGAGTGCAGCAGGGCAAAACCAACAGAAACCAGACTACTAAAGATTTACTTGTGGAATTTTTTTGCAAAGTGTCAAAGGGCTTATAGAGAAAATGAAACAGTTCTTTAAAGATGTTCTTGAGAGAGGTTTTTTTTTAACTTACTAAAAGACTTTATGTTTTAGAACAGTTTTTGTTTACGTTGAGCACGTAGGACGTCCACACTACACACACAGTTTCTCTTATTAATAGATATTAGTATGGTACATTTATTGCAACTAATGAACCAGTAATGATAAATTATTAACTAGGATCCATAGTTTATTCCTACTTCCTCACATTTTATCTAAAGTCCTTTTTCTGTTCCAGGATCCCAGCTAGGATATCACATTACATTTAGTTGTATATTCTTAGGCTGTATATTCTTGGCTGTGACAGTTTCTCAGGCTTGCTTTGTTTTTGATGACTGCTAAGGGCTGAATTGTGCCCTTCTAAAATTCTTATCTTGAAGTCCCTACCTCAATACCCCAGAACGTGACTGTATTTGGAGAGAGGGTCTTTAAAGAAGATGAGGTTACTAGGGTGGACCTTAGCCCAATATATTAATAACTGCTGTCCTTACGAGAGTAGGACACAGAGGGATGACGATGTGAAGACGTAGGGGGGAAGACAACCATCCACAAGCCAAAGAGAGAGGCCTCAGAATGAAATCAAACCCATAGGTATTAGACTGTACGCCTCCAGAACAGTGAGGAAATAAATTTCTATTGTTTAAGCCACCCAGTCTTTGGTACTTTGTTATGGCAAGCATACCAAATTAATACAGTGACCTTGACATTTTTGAGGAGTATGGGTCAGGTACATTGTAGGGTGCCCTGCTTTTGGAATTTGCCAGACATTTTTCTCATGATTAAAATGGCTTTACGGACTGTGTCAGGGGAAGATCGCAGAGGTAAGATGCCCTTTTCAGCACATGCTATCAAGGATAGATACTATCAAAGTGATTTATCACATTGTTATTGACCTTGATCACCCTTCTGGAGTAGTGTTTGTTAGATTTTCCACTGTAAAGTTACTTCCCCCACCCCTTTTTGTACTGTTCTCTTGGGAAGGAAGTCATTTTGCAGAGCCCACGCTTACTGAATGGAGAGTTATGCTGTTCTTCAGGGTGGAATATTTACATAATTTATTTGGAATTCTCTGTGGGAGATTTGTCTCTTCCCTGCCATTTATTTGTTAATTTATTTTATCATATCATTATGGGCCTGTGGATGTTTATTACATAACTTGTATTATAATCCAGTACTTCTTTATTTTGTTGCTGAAATTGTTCCAGCTTTGGCCATTGGCAGCTCTTTGAGTTGTCTACTGTTCTCCTTTGATGTGCTCCTATCAATTTTTTTTTTTTTTTTTAGCACTTTATTACTTCCTGGCAGTATACATGCTCCAGACTCATCTTTTACATTTCCTGTCGCAGTCCTAGAATCAGCTATTTATTTAAGGATCCCTGATTCCTTTTTTTGAAGAACGATATTAAAACCAAGTTCTAGTGCCTAGGTGTGCTCATTGCTACTAGGATGTCATTTTGGGCTCTCTGTCTACATTTATTTTTAAATTATTGGTATTTGAGAGGGGGTTATTTATAACCAACTATCCAATTCTGCAAAGTTTTTTTTTTTTGTCTTTGAGACAGAGTGTCACTCTGTTGCTCAGGCTGGAGTGCAGTGGTGGCACAGTCTTGGCTCACTGCAACCCCCGCCTCCTGGGTTCAAGTGATTGTCCTGCCTCAGCCTGCTAAGTAGCCGGGACTACAGGCATGCGCCACCATGCCCGGCTAATTTTTGTATTTTCAGTAGAGTGGAGGTTTCGCCATGTTGGCCAGGCTGCTCTTGAACTCCTGTCCTCAAGTGATCCACCCACCTTGGCCTCCCAAAGTGCTGGGTGTACAGGCATGAGCTGCCATCCTTGGCCTCCACTTTAAAAAATATGTCTTTTGAGCTACAAGCTGCAAATATTTCAGTATATACTAAAATGCGTGTCACATAAAAGTAGCAAAAATTCTCTTTTCCATATTTCAAATGATTACAAGATTAAGCTTTACCAGTGCCATTTCCACCTAATCTGAATTAAACAAATAAATTCTTTTTTGACTTTGAGGTCAGTCAACTCATATGTGAGACTGAAATGTCAGGGGCGAAGAGAATTTTTGTATTTTCTGGCTTCTCAGCTTTGTGGTTGATTTGAGAAATATTTCATACTATGCATCAAATGATAGATGTGTTTCTGTAGCTCTCTGATTTTGTAGTTGATGCTCAAGGACTTTAAAATACCACATTTTAATTCTCATCCATCTCTTTCACAGTCTTTGAGTGACCTTTGTAAATATTAATGATTGTCACTTTGGCCACGCAGGGTGGCTCATGCTTGTAGTCCCAGCACTTTGGGAGGCCGAGGAGGATGGATCATTGAGGCCAGAAGTTCGAGGATAGCCTGGGCAACGTGGCGAAACTCCATCCCTACTAAAAATACAAACATTATCCTGGCGCGGTGTCGTGCACCTGTAGTCTCAGCTATTCGGGAGGCTGAGGCATGAGAATTGCTTGAACCTGGGAGGTGGAGGTTGCCATAAGCCGAGATCACGCTGCTGCATTCCAGCCTGAGCAACAGAGTGAGACTGTCTCAAAAATAAATAAGTGATTGTTATTTAAACAAGTCGTTTTAGGACCGCAAAGCAATGAAGTTCTAATACAGATCCATTTAAGAAGAGGATAAAATAGATGATGGCCATTTCTGGTTGTATTAGTTTTCTAGGGATACTGTAGCAAATTATCACAAACTGGCTGGTTTCAAACAGTAGAAATTTATTCTTCCACAGTTTGGAAGGCTAACAGTGTAAAACTGAGCTTTTGGTGGGGCCATGCTCTCTAATGGCTTTGTGGGGGATCCTTGTCTTTTTCTAGCTTTTGGTAGTTCTTGTCAATCCTTGATGTTCCTTGCCTTTTAGAGCCATCTACTCCAATCTGTACCACTGTGGTCATGTTACATTGTCCCTGTAAGTGTCTATGTTTCTTTTTTAATAAGGTCCCCCGTAATCAAATGTGAACTCATTGTAATTTGAATACATCTGCAAAGACCCTATTTCCAAATAAGGACATATTCACAAGTATCAGGAGTTAGGACTTTGGTGTATCTGTTGGACGGGGACACAGTTCATTCCATAACACTGGTGATAGCTATCACTCGATTTTTTTTGCAGCAGTGTGTGATGGTTTTGATGATCTGATACAAACCTTGGTTTTCATCTTTCTGTTCTTCCCAGACCCCATTTGTTTTCCAAGGAAATAGCAGTTAACTTTACTCCATAAAGGGAAATAACTCTTAGGAAAGTCTTGCAGCCTTGCCCATCACTAATCAGATTTCTCCGAACTTGAAAACTCAAGCCTAACAAACTTTAAAATTAAATCTAAAGGAAGAGTGAATAAATTGGTATCAATTTTTGATGTTATAAAATCACAGTAGCAGTATTGGAATGTCATTTTCATGGTTGAACATTAATGTATTTACTTGCTAACATTTCCGTGAATTATAAATATTTAACCACTTAATATGGACAAAACATTATGGAGAATTTAAATTATTATAAAATGTTTTCTCTTCCCTAAAGAAGATTCTTGTTTGAGCCAAGACAAAAACATGAAAATTTAATGCAGACCCTCTATAAAAAGTATTGTATATCATCTTTAACTTATTAAATGGAAGCTTTCAAACAGTGGAAAAGAACAGGGTAGCAAATGCCCATCTTTAAATTATCAGCATTTTCCAAATCACTTTTAAACCAACTTGTAAATGTCATTTTTAATGGTACAAGGTTATGTTATTTCGTTAAACCATAGTGAAATTTTAAAATATGTATCCATTGATTACTGTGTGTTGTGCCGTGTATTCCTTCTGTTTTCTAGGTTTTGCGTTTGTTAGATTTGTTAGTAGTGAAGATGAAGAAAGAGTAGCGTTCCTGAATCCTTGCCATAAAATCACTTGTAATCTTACTCTTTAATTAAAAAATAGTTAATGAAACTCCTTATCAAGCATTGTGCTATGTGCTGAAACATATATAAAAGTTTAAGTATTTCCTAGTTTTATACCAAGTCTTTACTACAATCTGTCCCTTGTCTACAAAATTTTAACGTAAGTCCAAATTTCGTTTTCATGACCAGAGTTACCTGTTTTGGATAAGATTATCAAAATTTACTCTAAATCCTGTAAGAAAATGAGACAGAGGACATTTGCCCAATGCATGAAAAATGATGCCGCTTGAGGCCTTTTCTTTTTAAAAATGCAGTTATGGGCCGGGTGCAGTGGCTCACGCCTGTAATCCCAGCACTTTGGGAGACCGAGGCGGGCAGATCACAAGGTCAGGAGATTGAGGACCATCCTGGCTAACACGGTGAAACCCTGTCTCCACTGAACATAAAAAATTAGCTGGGCATGGTAGCGGGCACCTGTAGTCCCAGCTATTCGGGAGGCTGAGGCAGGAGAATGACATGGGCCTGGGAGGCAGAGCTTGCAGTGAGCCGCGATCACGCCACTGTACTCCAGCCTGGGCGAAAGAGCAAGACTCCGTCTCGGAAAAAAAAAAAAAATGCAGTTATGTATAGAAAATTACTAAATTACAAAATCATCTCAAAACTGCTAAGCTCTAGGAACTGGAAATAGGAAACAGATAATTTTAATCTTTATTTTATATCTTTCTGTATTCTTTGAATTAGTTTATTCTGTGAATATATATTTTTAGAAAAAATACAGATTTTTTAAAGATATAAAGAGCCAAATGAAGCTAATGAACACAGTCCATAATGACTAGTACAGGCAGTAAAAATTACACAAACTTCTTCAACTGTGAGACATTGGGCAAATGTCCTCTGTCTCATTTTCTTACAGGATTTAGAGTAAATTTTGATAATCTTATCCAAAACAGGTAACTCTGGTCATGAAAATGAAATTTGGACTTAATATTAAAATTTTGTAGAAAAGGGACAGATTGTAGTCCCTTTTTTTGCACTTAATGCAGTTTGTACAGTAATACATATCGGTATGTAGAAGTAGAAATCTACCTTATTCATTTTAATGACTGAATTGGAATCTACTGTATGGCTCACTCTTATTTAACTTGCCTTTAATTTCGTGTCACTGAAACCAGGTGTTTACTGTTACACAATATGCTGCCGATTTTTGAATTATGGTATGAATATTCACATTCATGGTTTAGGACCCTGCAGTGGAATTGCTGGGTCAGAGGGATGTGCACATACAGTTTTGTTAAGATGCCGTAATGGCAAATTGTCTTTTTTTTTTTTTTTTTCCTGAGGCGGAGTCCTGCTCTGGTCCCCAGGCTGGAGTGCAGTGGTGCGATCTCGGCTCACTGCTACTTCCACCTCCCGAATTCAAGTGATTCTCCTACCTCAGCCTCCCGAGTAGCTGGAACTACAGACCCATGCCACCATGCCCAGCTAATTTTTTTGTGTTTTTAGTAGAGACGGGTTTCACCATGTTAACCAGGCTGGTCCTGAACTCCTGACCTCAGGTAATCCACCCACCTCGGCCTCCCAAAGTGCTAGGATTACAGGCGTGAGCCACCGTGCCCAGCCGGTAAATTGTCTTTTAAAAGACTAACCATTTGGTGTTCCACCTATGCCCTCATCCAGTAGTCATCCTCTATAACTAAATCAAGTTTCTCAACTCCAGACTTAATTAAAGCACTTTAATAAAGAGCCCCTAACTTCTAACTTCCTTAACTTACCATCACCTTCTTTACTGTTTTTTTATTCTGCTCTGCTTTTCCCAATTTCACATCTTTTTTCTATTTTTCTCAGCTTAAGTGTCCCAAACATTGTATTACTTGAATAGTAGCTTCCATTAAAACTTTGGGGAAGAACAGCTTCTAAAAATATAGCAAAAGTAGAAATGGCTGTTTTAAACATACAGAAAAATAATTATAAGTGATACAAATGAAACTTTTGAAAATATGTAAATTAAAACCTCTGTGCATAGGAAAATTTTTTTTTTTTTTTTTTTTAAATAAAAGCTTTAGCCGGGTGCAGTGGTAACACCTATAATCCCGGCACTTTGGAAGGCCAAGAGGGGCAGATCATTTGAGGTCAGAAGTTTGAGACCAGCTTGACCTACATAGTGAAACCCCGTCTCTACTAAAATACAAAAATTAGCCAGACTTGGTGGTGAGCACTTGTAATCCCAGCTACTCAGGAGGCTGAGGCGGGAGAATCGCTTGAACCCAGGAGGTGGAGGTTGCAGTGAGCCCAGATCACACCACTGTACTCCAGCCTGGGTGACAGAGCAAGACTCCCTTTCAAAAAAAAAAATAATTATAACAATAAAAGCTTCAACCTATGAAACAGGAAGACAAATTTAGACTAAAGAATTCTTTCAAAGATAAGATGAAACCTCTGTAAGTTTTAGATTTGCTTCTGGAGAAGAAATGGAGTTGAGCAGAAGTGGATTGGCTTGATGACACTTTTTGTTTTTTGAGACGGTGTTTCTCTCTTGTTGCCCAGGCTGAAGTGCAATGGCAGGATCTCAGCTCACTGCAACCTCCGCCTCCCAGATTCAAGCAATTCTCCTGTCTCAGCCTCCTAAGTAGCTGGGATTACAGGCACCCGCCACCACGCCTGGCTAATTTTTGTGTTTTTTAGTAGAGACAAGGTTTCACCATGTTGGCTAGGCTGGTCCTGAACACCTGACCTCAGATAATCCACCCGACTTGGCCTCCCAAAGTGCTGGGATTACATGCGTGAGCTACTGCGCTTGGCCGATCACCTTTTTTTTTAAACCCCGTAATAGTTGTTAACTTGAAGAGTGCTACCAAAAGTGATGGTGAGAAAGCTCTAGTATTGATATTAATCACAACAAATTGAAACTTCCAATGCTTAGTTTTTATGTGTTTTTTATTTAATCCTCACAATAATCCTTTGGGGTGTAGACATTTAGGTCTTCTGTTTTACAGATTGGAAAACCAAGGGTTAGAGCATAACTTACTCATGTTCACACCACTAACAAACAGATGTAGGTAGGCATCCAGAACCAGAGCCTGTGCTCTGAAGTCTAGGTGACAGGTGGTGACCAGAAAACTTAAAAGGGGAACTAAAAAAGTTGTCCATGACAACCATTAAACATGAGTAAGAACAACCTTTATTTAGAGTAATTTCTGGAAAAGTAAATTTATGGATTGGGAATGATGGTAGGGAGTCATTATACATCATTTTCATCATTTAAATAGTTTTAGTAAGTGCACATTTTCAGTTTCAGTAGGCACTTTATAGAGCTGTTGATAATGTCTATATTATATGGGTTTACAATTTAAGATAGGAAAATTATGCATTGAACTCTGATAAGCTGTTAAAGCATTGGAAAGCACAGCAAGCTTTTTGGTTTTCATAAGTAGAAGTTAACAGCTTCCTCATCATTAGCCTTTAAACAGAAAGTAATAGCTAGACACTGCTTGTTTGTTTAGTGTCTGCTATGTTCAAGATGCTTTCTTGTACCTTATTGAAGATAAAAAGATGAATACGTTTGTCTTTCTGTCAACTGTAAAAGCTGTTGATTGAATAAAAAGGAAACTAAACCATTTCAGGAACAAACTGTTGTCTCCTTGCTAATGTTAATTTCTAAACATAGAATTCTATAGGAAAATTTAAATTAATACATTTTATTACCTTATTGTATCATCTAAGTTAATAACAGGTGGATGAGATCTTCATTTCAAATGTGTGTTCATTTTTTCTCAATCTCTAAATTGTTTGACATTGTTTTTTATTATGAAGGAATTGTTCAAGTAAATAAAAGATACTTGGAAAGAAATAAGATGTTAAAATGCTTTGCCTCTTCATTTCTGGTGTATCTCTTTTCCTTAACTTTATTATGATAAAATAATTCCCCATTATAAAGTTAATGAAAGGAAAAGTGACTAACCTGGAGATGATCACACTTATGTTGCATCTCTAGAATTTATTTTTATGCAAATCATGATAATCTATAAGCAGACATCTACTTTTTTTTCCCTCTAGGGCATACATAATCTTGCTGCTATGCTTCGAAGCTGTAGTGTGAATCAACCTAAGTTTTAAACAGAAGGTGAACCTCTGAGGTCAGTTTAAATAGCAGTTGGTGTGTCGTCTTGGTGTTTCCTATTTATTTGTTAACTCTTAATTAAAGTTGTAAGTGAAATTAGTTTTCAAGGGCTCTGATAACCTATTTAACCTTAAAGGGCTCTAAAGGTGTACTTGGGAAACTGGAGAGGACACAAAGGGGAGGAAGAAGGAAACACTGAAGAGGGGTTAGAAAAAGAAATATATTTAACTTGGAACTGTACCCAAACCAGTTGTTGGCCTCATTTGTGCTATCTAGTGCCTATTTTGCCATATTCTAATAATGCTGTTGTAATTGATTAGTGTAACTTGAAGATGGGTACATTTGACTCATAAGGAAATCAAGGTAACAAAAGAAATACACCCCCCATAATCCACAGTGTTTTTCATTTGAGGGATTAGGATCTGCTGCAGATAGAACTATACCTGTATGGCATTCTGGGAATGCTGCGAAGACTGGAGTTGGAAACTTTTAAAGGCCTGAATTGTAATCTCCAGTTGTCCTAGTAGATAGAGTTAATGTCTCTATTTTATTGTTATCCAACTTGCCTACTTTTTGTGATCCTGCAATACAAAGGCTTGCTTTTATCTTGTTTTTAGCATACAGGAAAGGATTAGTCGAAAAGGATTCATTTAGTAAACATTTATTAAATGCCTGCTATGAGCTAAGCCTTGGGATACAAAAATAAAGAAGAAACCATGCCCTGGTTGTGTGAGTCACTGGTTCTTGAACAGGGTTGTGTATCAGTATTTGATAAAGTACAAAGATATTAGACTTGTAAGACTTTTAAACCTTTTATTAGAAATGTTTTCAGACTAGCTTACAGAAAAGTTGAGCTAGTGTGATGATTCCCCCCCATACCATCTCCTAGATTTAATAGTTACTAACATAAAGTACCTTCCCTCCCATCTTTTCCATGCTATTTATATGTTAAGAAACCAGGTCTTGGAGGCTGTCTTACTTTCTGGATTTATACAGTTTATCTCATTTCTTCATTCTGTAAAATTGCTTTATATTGTAAGTAAAATCCAAAAGCTCAGTTGGACTCAGTTAAATATTTATTATGAGAATTCTTAGTGATTCTGTAAGCATAGTAGATACCTAATAATTTGTAGGGGTGGTATTTTGGCAACCTTTGAATTTCTGATTTCTCATCAACTTTTTTTGTAAGGTCTCCTGAATTAATATTTTATTACTTTTGGCAATATGATAGTTTTCTAATTATATTCTGCATTTTTCATTTTTATTAGCTGTAATTATGAGGAAGAATTTTTCTTCATCAGCTGAAACTGTTTGGTTACTATCTTAAAGGAATCTTGATTGGGGAGAAATGAAATCACTTTTTTCCTACATTCTTCAAAATAATTGTCCAGAAATTTATATTGTACAAAAAATGGAGTTTTTTTTTTTAAGCTAAATTCATTGTTATGCTTGCCATCAAATTCTGAGACCAGCATTAACATAAAATTTTCTACCTCTCGTTCGGTACCCTAAAAATTCTAGTTGCCTCTGGCAAGCTATTGACAAGAATTTTAGACCTCTCATGAAATAAATGTATCATCATAAAATAATTTCTGATGTGAGGTTTTAAGATTAAATAACTCACTATAGTTTTTAAACTATGTTTAATTTATTGAAGATAGAAAATCAAGTATATTTTAAAAGAAGGGATGTGGGATCAAGGAGGACAGCCTTGGCAGCAGTGGCCCTTGAACCAGCAACAATGGATGCAGTCATTCCAGCACCAACAGGATCCAAGTAAGGAAACCAATTGAATTTGAAAGGGCGGGGTTGGATATGTGTAAATGGGTAGAAGACATGTGATAGGGTTAAGGGATATGGAATTAAGATTGGTGTATTGGACCATTTTATGGTCAGAATTTAATGTTCTCATAAATAGCCTTGCCGTAGCTTATATAGCAGGAAATGGACTTCCCTTTGGAAGACTCTCAAAAGATAGAAAGCTTTTTGAAGATTTTACATTTTTTAAACTGATTTAGTCCTTGTTTTTCTAAAGAAAGAGAAAAGCCTAAAATATGTTGCTTATGAAGAACACACTTATGTGAATTCTCTTAAAGTTGTATATCATATTGAACTGGATGGTATGCTATATCATTTTAAAATATTTTTGCTATAGACTATTTCAGGCATACATAGAAAGGTAGAAGAGTATAGGGAGTCCCCCATTTATTACTTAGCTTTAACAATTATTAACTAGTGGCCAATTTTGTTTCATCTGTAAGACCACTTACATTACTGTGCCCTCGCTGGGTTAATCTGATGCTATTTCTTTTTTCAATAGCCACGTATCATTCTGTTATAGGATTGTAACATAATTTAACAAAGCCACTTTTGGATGTTTTATTATTTGTAGCTTTTCACTTTTTAAAACAATTAGCGTAATCATGTGTACATATCGTTATCCACTTGTCCAATTATTTTCTTATGAAAAGAGCTAGGTTTGTTAAGTCATGGTAATTTCAGATGCACATTGCCACATGTAACCCCATAGGGGTTATGCCAGTGTTTCAAACTGTATGAGAATATCTATTTAATCTTCATTAAAGTAAGATGCAGAAAAACATATCTTATTCTACTTTGTTTACTTTATTAATATTAGATCTTAATGCATTTTTGAATGGACTTGCAAAATAAAAAGTATTAAAAAGGTCTTGAAATGTTAAATATAGATACTTTGGAAGAGAGGTCAGGTGCGGTGGCTCACACCTGTAATCCTAGCACTTTGGGAAGCTGAGATAGGCAAATTGCTTGAGCTCAGGAGTTTGAGGCCAGCCTGGGCAACATGATGAAACCCCATCGCTACCAGAAATACAAAAATTAGCCAGGCTCATAACCCGGACTCTACATGGATGGATGGATGGATGGATCATGGATGGATAGATGGGTGGGTGGGTGGGTGGATGGATGGATGGATGGATGGATAGATAGATAGATAGATAGATAAAAATTTAAAAATTGAAAAAATATATCTTGGGGGAAGAGTGTCTTCAAGTTAGTGGGAAAATGAACTTTGAGTAAAGATTGGCTAAGAAGTTGTAACCAGACTACACTAGTCATGTTTTGGCTAGAGAAGGGAGCCTTTCTTAAAGAAGGGCAACCATGAGGAAGAACAGAATTAGGTAGCTGCACTCATCCAAGGCCTATAGGCTCGAATGCAGGCCTGGAAAGATAAATAGGACATGTTGAAGAAAGAAATGATAGCATTAGATTTTTTTTGTGGTGTTTTTTTTTTGTAAAGGTGATGACATTTAAAAACTCAGTAAAGTAAGATACAGGGGATAAATTTTAAATGAATTAATATTAGAAATGGGTTAAGAGTGTTCTTGTGGAGTTCTTTTCTGAAAGTGTTAAATAGTTATATTATTTTTTAGCCTGAATATGGGTTATTTGTTAAGCACCCTTTCAGATACAGTATGCTTTAATATTTAAGATCTCTCATTTAAAAAATTTTTTTCTAATTTCCCTCATACCCTCTCTGTCTGAAATATTTAAGATCTAAGGAATAATTGAGATGCTTGTTTTACATAGAGGCACTATTCTTTTAGCTCCTACATTCTGAATGTTGAATTCAATGTTAATTTACGTTAGGCCAGATTGACTGGGCTGCATTGGCCCAAGCTTGGATTGCCCAAAGAGAAGCTTCAGGACAACAAAGCATGGTAGAACAACCACCAGGAATGATGCCAAATGGACAAGATATGTCTACAATGGAATCTGGTCCAAACAATCATGGGAATTTCCAAGGGGATTCAAACTTCAACAGAATGTGGCAACCAGGTTTGTTGTTTATGTTTTCACAATTTTAGGACTTTTAAAAAACAAAATGAAGATTATTATGAAATTTTTAAATTTGCTTAGTAGTATGACTTCCCAAAATTAATGCTTCTTAAAAAATAGGCAGTTTTCAATTTGATTTGACTTTGACATTTTGTGGTTAAAATTATTCTGTACTCATTCTGCTAGCATTGTGGCACTCAGTTTGATTCATTTCTTGGTTCTTCATTCCTAGGCTGACAGGGGCTGGGAACACTCTGGAAACCTCACTTGGCATCTAGGGAAGAGAGCATTCTTTGTCTCTCTATTGCAACCTCTGGCCTTTTCAGAAGCAGCACTGGCAGAGTAAAACATGTCTAGCCGCTAATTAAAGAAAAATTGTGTCACTGTGTGACAAATTAGTCTGTCAAATATACTCTGCCCCGACTATCCGCCTACCTTTTTCTTCCCTTTTTTTTCAGATAGTGATCTTTCATAAGTTTTTGTGTGTTTTACTTTTTTGTTTGTTTTATTTCACAGTATGATGTAGATTTCTTGATGCTAATTCAGTCTTCCATGGCTTGTGTTATTCTTTTTTAATAGTCACTTGAAACTATGGAGGAATTAGCCTCACATTTGGGTATGCTGATGGTGAAGTCATAACCTCCTTTCCCTATTAATACTTTTTGTTTCTCCTTATAAGAATGGAGACCTCAGTTGAGACCAGCCTGGGCAACATAGCAAGGCCCTGTCTCTACAAAAAAAAAAAAAAAAAAAAAAACTTAACAATTAGCCAGGCATAGAGGCGTGTGCCTGTAGTCCCAGCTACTCAGGAGGCTGAGGTGGGAGGATTGCTTGAGCCTAGGAGATTGAGACTGCAGTGAGCTGTGATCACGCCACTGCACTCCAGCGTGGGTGACAGAATGAGTCCCTCATTTAAAATGAAAAATATGAGAATTCAGATTACTTTTAAAAACATAAATATTTTAGTCTTTGATACTGTGAGGTAGTTTGTTTCTAGCTTTCTTGAAAATGAAATTTCCCCACGTTTGAAAATGCTTTCGTTCCTACGTTTAAGTTCTTAAATGACTCCCCCTGGCATCCCTACCCCTTAGTTTTACTCTACTTTGTGACCCCGGGCAAGTGGTTTACCTCTGTGTGCCTCAATTTTGCCTCCCGAAATTGGCAAAAATAATACCTGATTTCTCCCTACCTCACAGGGATGTTGTGAGGATAAATGTGTTCGTGTAAGAAAGAAATTATATAAAACCTCAAGGTATTATTTTTGTGGTGTTGTTACTAAACAAAAATATAAAAATTCAACAAAAATAGTGCTTTGGATTTTGGTACATTTGTTAAAAATAACGTTGGGCATTTGGTTAGGATATGAATTAGAGTGGAATTAGCTCATTTTGAATTACATATGACAGTTTAGTTTATTGCTTATTTTTAAGACAAAAGGAGTTTGACCAAGCAGTCGTAAGTTGTTTTTTAAATCTGTATGTTTACTGAAAAATCTTTCTTGAGATCTTAAAATTTTGTGTTGATTTTGTTATAACCCCCTGTTGAATGTTTTTATGCCTAAATCTTAAATAGAATGGGGAATGCATCAGCAACCCCCACATCCCCCTCCAGATCAGCCATGGATGCCACCAACACCAGGCCCAATGGACATTGTTCCTCCTTCTGAAGACAGCAACAGTCAGGACAGTGGGGAATTTGCCCCTGACAACAGGCATATATTTAACCAGAACAATCACAACTTTGGTGGACCACCCGATAATTTTGCAGTGGGGCCAGTGAACCAGTTTGACTATCAGGTGAAAGATATTTTGTTGCTTTAATATTGTAGATGTGCACGTAATCCATTCTTTGGAAGTGTCTCATCAAGAATACCTAAGATACGTGTTTCACTTTTCAGACTTGTGTAAATAAGCACATTCTGTCTCAGGAAAGTTATCAATTTTTGAGTATTAAAATAGTTAGAATTTGTTTTCTGATTTTCTTACTTCATTAGGAAAATGGTATAAAAGATCATTAGGGAAAATTTTTGAAAAAAATGTGTACAATAGCTATACGATGTTTTGTTTTCTAATTTATATTTCAAAATGGTATATTTAAATGTTAAAGACTAGAAAATGCACACTAATTGAATATAGCTTATGGTTAAGACATGAATAAAACACATCAACATAGATAATTTTCCTAAGTGTAATTCCTTGTGCTATGTAGAATTATGACTGTTTTTCTAGTGTCATTTTTTTTTCCATTCTGACATGACATGTTAATGGAATTGTATATAATTTCCTCTGTAGCATCTAATTCATTCCTAGGGACATAGAACTCTGTGGGGAATAGTGTCATATGCTGGGCTTTATTTACTTTATTCCCTCTGCCAGGTTCTACCCTTAAATTATAGTGCTAGTTGTCATTTTGAAGTAACTGACTGCAATTATTAACTTATAAACTGCTATCATAATTTAAAATTTTGAAAGAAAAATCATTATTTTGTGAATTCTAAGGTAGATTTGATAATGGACTATAATATTCACCTTGAGATGGTAATCCTCTCGTTAATAAATATTCAGATACTTGTTGTATACTTGGTATACAGATAAAACAGTTTTTATCTTGTTTGAAGAAATGTAATGGCAGGGAACATCTGCTTACCCTACTTTTGTGTGGTAGATCCCATGTAAACAAGACAAAGAGCTGTATTGGCAGGTGGCCTAGAAAAGCCTCTGAAAATAGCAAAATTGCAGAAAATATTTAATGATTCGGTAACTTCTGTCTTTGCTTATAAATGAATATATCTGCAAGATTATAGAAACACCTTAAATTGTTTAGTTCACTTTTTGTTCACTGTAGGTAGGGTGTTGAAATTGACAAAAATGTCTAGGTAAAGAAAAATTAGTATCTATTTGATGTCTTAGTGTTGGTAGGATTAGCTTGTAAATGGATTTGGAATGAAAAATTTCATATACTTCTTCAAAGTAGCTTATCAGGTGGCTTTTAGAAGCCTCTTTGCATTTACATAGCCAGAAAATCTTAAGAAAAGTAAGCCTAGGTTCTTGGGACTATAGAAGTATCGGTGGATATTAGAGCCATGGAATTCTTGGATGTGCTGCACACATGGATTTCTACTGTCCCAGTTCATAACACACGTGTGTCCCAGAGAGTATATTGTATTAATTTGAAGAAAAAATAAACTGCAATACTCTTTCAGCATGGGGCTGCTTTTGGTCCACCGCAAGGTGGATTTCATCCTCCTTATTGGCAACCAGGACCTCCAGGACCTCCAGCACCTCCCCAGAATCGAAGAGAAAGGCCATCATCATTCAGGGATCGGCAGCGTTCACCTATTGCACTTCCTGTGAAGCAGGAGCCTCCACAAATTGGTAGCTATTTAATTAATTTAGTGGACCACAGTTGGCATGACTTTTTTTAATCATTTTATAAAAGGGATGTCTTATTTTATTAAAATTGTTCAAGTATCTCTGATGTGTTAGGAATTGACACTTTATTTATTTTTTATGGTCATAAAGCTTAAATTCACAAAAATGATACTGGGCTAAAATATTAAAAGGTTTAAATAATTTTCTTTAAATCTTTACATTAAATTCCAGATTTTGTGATGAAGTGCAAATTTATGCTAGCCATATCATTTTGATATTTTCTTCACTGTGGGCATTTCAGTACATTATGCAGATACGTGAGCCCTTCTCCTTTTAAACCTAATTGTTCAGTCTCTGTCCACTCTCAGTTCATCTGATGCACTACTGTCAGATTAATTTTCCTCTGCTTATTTCACTTCCCCTAAGTGTTTTGGCAGAAAATTTCAATTTTTAAATACCATTTTAGAGCCAGCCTATTTCAAGTGACAAATACATATTTATGCCACTTTATATCCGGAAAGTTCTAAATCATTCAGTATTTAATGAACAGGAGCATTTATTAATAAATCTTTATTTTTTACGTTTTAGAAAGAGTCTAACTTTACAGCTTTTTTAACTTACTAGCAAATCACTTAATTTTTTCAAGTCTCAGTTTCCTCACCTGTGAAAGTAAGTGGAGTAATAGTAGTGATCTCTGAGGGCTTTTGTAAGGATTAAATTAGATGATGGTTTAACATGCTTTCATGGTGTCCTGACAGATTGTAAGCACTAGAGCAGTGTTCCCTACTGTTATTAAAAGTGATGGCATTTAAGAAAACCTGATATTTAATGGGATATTTTTTAAATTTACTCACAAGTTTGTAGAAATATTTTACTTAATTGACTTGTGTATATTCCCATGTGAAACAGACGCAGTAAAACGCAGGACTCTTCCAGCTTGGATCCGTGAAGGCCTTGAAAAAATGGAACGTGAAAAGCAGAAGAAATTGGAGAAAGAAAGAATGGAACAACAACGTTCACAATTGTCCAAAAAAGAAAAAAAGGCCACAGAAGATGCTGAAGGAGGGGATGGCCCTCGTTTACCTCAGAGAAGTAAATTTGTAAGTAGAATCCCCAACAGGAAATGCCATGTGATAATCTTGTTTGTGTGAAAACTTTACTGAAATAGATATTTTATTTTAGTCTATAGGAAAGTATTAGAGTGATGTTCCTAAGATTACATTCATTAAGTGTATTGAGGATTATGTTTTTATATATGTGTTACTGAAGAGACAGTAAGGAGAAAATGGAAAACAAGTTTATAAACATTTCATTCCAGAGAGCTGGCTAAATCTTGATAAACAATCTGTATTCGTTCATGATGGTACAGGTGACACCCTAGTGGTAGATTATAAAACAAATCTACCTTAAAATAGTAATAGAGAAATATAATCTCCCTCTTTTGAACATTTAAACATATACCTGAGGATGTCATAATTTTTATTGTTTTTGACATGAGCACTGGAAGTATAACAACATTTTAAAGTCTTTAAATCTTCATCAGTTAGATGGCTTGAGTGGTTTAGGAACTTTTTTATTCAGCAGGTATGATATCCACAGCACTGGCCAGTATGCAACTCAGAAAATTGGTCTGTCTTCCACAGCCATTTTGTGGTTTAGAAATAAGTCTCAAGAAGAGCAGAATAACTAGATTTTGGCAGGCTTTAGTTTCGCTTAAATTCCGTAAATTACTTTTATTTTCCCCAAAAGACATATACCAAATCTGTGTTTCTCTTCTAGATGTTAATTAACAAAAATAAGAAACAACAGAAAAACACTGTTGAAGCTTACTCTTTTTGTCTTTTTAGGCAGTTGGGGGATCAGGGCCTCACTCTGTTGCCCAGGCTGGAGAGCAGTTGCACAATCATAGCTCACTGTAGCCTTGAACTCCTGGACTCAATCAGTCCTCTCAACTCAGCCTTCCAAGTGCATAGCTAGGACTACAGGTGCACACCACCACTCCCACCTAATTTTTGTATTTTTTGTAGAGATGGGGTTTCACCGTGTTGCTCAGACTGGTCTTGAACTCCTGGCTTCAAGTGATTCTCCCACCTTGGCCCCCCAAAGTGCTAGGATTACAGACATGAGGCACTCTGCCCACTCATTTTTTTTTAAAAAAAATCCTTACATGAAATAGTGGTGTTCCAAATTTTTTTAAGCATCAAAAATTTGTTTGGAAATTATCCTTCCTCTTTCCTCCCAAATGCCTGTGGGATTGTGTTACATATATTTTTCCCCTGGTTCAGGTAGTCTTTCCACAGTAGTATCTAGGTGGTCATCTTGTCTTTTACATACTAGGATTATTAAAAGTGACTGGGGACACTTCTCTGACAAAGGAAAGAGTCACATGCTATCTGGATCTTGAAACCTAAAACCATACAAAGACAGGAGACAAACTGCTGGCATTTGTTTAATCTGAAGTAGACCTTGTTTTTATCTTTTCATTATGGAGCTAAAAAGAAGCAAGTTTTACTGAGTTTCAGGGCCAGCTGAGAACTTGGCCCTGAAAAATGTGATTAGAGATTTTTCATTTTAAGTTGTGCAACTTTAGATAAATAGCTTAAATATATAGCTGTAAAAGTTATACTGAATAATACGTCTATGGTCCATTTATCCAAAGTTCTATAAGCCTCTCAGGCCCATTATATGTAATAGATAATAATTAAATCAGTCTCTGGGCATTATGTTTTTCTGGGTATTTATAAAATAAGTTTAAAATTGACTAAGGGAAAAAGAAAATTGAAAAAATAATTTATTTTCCTAAGCCATCTTGTAATCTTACATTTTTCCCAGGTTATACTTTTTAAATTATCAAATGAAATCTGTAATAAATATAATTTAAATAGCAATTTCACTCATATTTCTGCTTCATAGGCTTTTTAGTTTGGGGTTTAAGATTTTCTGTATGTAAGATAAGGATTTTACATTATACACATGAATTTGGACTACCATACTATTATTTTTTTATAGGATAGTGATGAGGAAGAAGAAGACACTGAAAATGTTGAGGCTGCAAGTAGTGGGAAAGTCACCAGAAGTCCATCCCCAGTTCCTCAAGAAGATCATAGTGACCCTGAGATGACTGAAGAGGAGAAAGAGTATCAAATGGTAGAATGTTAAAGTTCTTACTATGTACACGGATTTATTTTGTTTGCAATTTTTTTTTGGAGACAATATTAGAGGAAAAAATAGAAACTAGAACTGCTGACCAGTATTATTAATTGAAGAGAAGCTCCTTTTAACTTAAAACAATTATAGAAACTTTCATTAATAGGGACTTTTTTAAATGTTTTGATTTCAGGCTGGGGTAATCCTAGTACTTCACGGGGGCCCAAGGCAGGGGGATTGCTTGAGTCCAGGAGTTCAAGACCAACCTGGGCACTATAGTGAGACCTTGTCTCTACAAAAAATTAGCCAGGCATAGTGAGGTGCACCTGTAGTCCCAGCAACTCAGGAGGTGGTGGGAGGATTGTTTGAGCCTGGGAAGCGGAGGTTGCAGTGAGCTGAGGTGGTGCCACTGTATTCCATCCTGGGTGACAGAGTGAAACCCTGTCTTAGAAAAAAAGAAAAAAGTGTTTTGAATTCAGTGTCTCTACTATACAGATACATTCATAATATTTTTTTCTTTGATCCATATGATTTTGGAATTTTTTTTTTTTTTCTTTTGGAGACGGAGTCTCGCTCTGTTGCCCAGGCTAGAGTGCAGTGGTGGGATCTCGGCAAACTGCAACCTCTGCTTCCTGGGTTCAAGCAGTTCTCCTGCCTCAGCCTCCCAAGTAGTTGGGATTACAGGTGCCCACCACCATGCCCGACTAATTTTTTGTATTTTTTTAGTAGAGACAGGGTTTCGCCATGTTGTTCAGGCTGGTCTCAAACACCTGACCCCAGGTGATCTGCCCACCTCGGCCTCCCAAAGTGCTGGGATTAGGGATTACAGGCGTTAGCCATTGCACCCAGGCTAGAATTTTTTTGAAGTTTTGATGTTAACAGAAAAAGGTTCAGGATACTTTATTCCTTGGAATGGCTGCTCTGATGTCTAAAAATATTTTATAAATTGGCTTTGTGGCTGGGCATGGTGGCTCACGCCTGTAATCCCAGCACTTTGGGAGGCCAAGGCAGGCAGATCACTTGAGATCAGGAGTTTAAGACCAGCCTGGCCAACATGGTGAAACCCCATCTCTACTGAAAATACAAAAATTAGCTGTGTGTGGTGGTGCACACCTGCAGTTCCAGCCACTTGGGAGACTGAGGCAAGAGAATCGCTTGAACCCAGGAGGTGGGGGCTGCAATGAGCCAATATCACGCCATTATGATCCAACCTGGGCAACAGAGTGAGACTCTGTCTGGAAAAAAAAAATGACTTTGTATTTTAATATTTTTGAAGATGTCACACTATTGGTAGCTATAATCATTAGAAATACTGTATAAAATGCTCTTTTTTAGATGTTGCTGACAAAAATGCTCCTGACAGAAATTCTACTGGATGTCACAGATGAAGAAATTTATTACGTAGCCAAAGATGCACACCGCAAAGCAACGAAAGGTATATTTTGGTGTTTTTGATTTTGCTTTTCCTGGGGTATTTTGGTTCTGATGACTATTTTGGACTTTTTTTGTTGTCCTTGTTGGATTTCTACCAGATATTTGAATATTCTCTTGCATGTTTTAACTCTTAAAGATTAGATATGTAGACACCATATTAAAGCTATACAAATATTTTTGTTTTATCTGACCTACATGAGTACAAATTAGCAGTCATGCTGTTGTCCTCTAAAATGTATTGTGGAAAATTCCTGATGTTCAGTTTATTTCACCTGATTTTTTTTATAGATAACATGGCATTGTATGACTTCTGATACAGTTTATTTTGACTAATGAATTTTGAATTATCAACCTTCAGTTTTTAGTTTACCAGTTATCTCTTACAGAAGCAAGTGATTCCCTACCCCTATATTTTAGTAACACCTTAAAAAATGTATTGAAAACAAAAATTAAGTTACATGTCATAATCTCAGAAATAGACATACAGATATACTTGTCAACATTTTTTCTCATTATAAACCAATTTCAGCTCACATCAGAGTTATAATTTCAAAGCCAGACATGATACTGGTTTAAAATGAATGTTATGTTTTTAATGTTTCTTCTCTCCCCAAAAAGCAGCAATAGTAGTAGATTTAACAATACCATAGACTCATGACTATGAAATCGTGGCTATTTGTGTTAACATGTTGTTCCTGTTGTTGATGTGATACAAAGCTCCTGCAAAACAGCTGGCACAGTCCAGTGCACTGGCTTCCCTCACTGGACTCGGTAAGTGTTTTCCATATTTGTGAAAGGGCCTAAAGGGAAAAATCACACATACATTGTCTCTCTACGTGTTCTGTTTTGAAACTGTATTAGTCCTACTCAGTTTATAAAAACCTAGGTCTTAGGGTTATGTCATCCTGTCTGAAAAGGTTTGCCTATTTTTTTGACTGACTCATTCACAGTGAGAAATTTATAAATGTGATGGTTAATTCATAGTTTATTGGGGCAAGTTATATTGGAAGATTTCCTTATTGCTCCAATATATGCATTTTTTATATATATATATAATTATATATGAACACCTATAGTTTGTACTTGATAATTCATAATTTAGCCATGATAATATCTAAGCTCACTTTCAGAATTATTGCATACATGCCTTAGGGAAGAACCTATCCACTAATGTTTTTAATAACTTACATAGATTGTGTTGTGGCAAGTCAAGTTTTAATATACAGGAAAGGGTTTATCTTATAGTAAAACAGTAGTGATGTGTTCATAATTTACTATTTGCATGGTATATTATCAAGGCTGTAAAAGCCTGAATTTGCCTTTTCCACATCTTCATTTCAAATTAATTTTTGTGAGGACGCAGAGAAGTGGGTAGAACCAAATGCCCATGTGGTTTTTGTTACGGTTATTTATATCATTTCAGGGTGGGGAGTAGTTTCAGCACCATAATATTTCTGTACCAGGGAGATTATAGTATTCTAATTTTTTCAGGGAAAAATTGCTTAGCTCTAGGGATTTCTAAACTTTGAACAATAAAAGTTAGTTTTAGAAATACTTTCAGGGTCATGATTAAGCCTTAGTGTGGCTTTGTTACTGCCCTGTTAAGTAGTTTTGTTGGTTAGTATGGACAGTACAGCAAACCCATTATGATTCCTTTACAGTGAGAAAGATATGAAATAGTCCAGAAAGAATAAGATATTAAGTAACCTTTGCCTGAAGATTCTGTGAACTCCTTAAGCATTTGAATGTATACTTCTCCCCACCCCGAATAAGCATATTCTTCTGGGAAAAGGCAATGAAAAAAGAAATGAGCTTTCTTCTCAGACCTTGAAAAGTTTTTAGTGCATAGTATAACTTTTTTCATATGATAGACTGAGCTTTATGCACACAGGTGGACTGGGTGGTTATGGATCAGGAGACAGCGAAGATGAGAGGAGTGACAGAGGCTCTGAGTCATCTGACACTGATGATGAAGAATTACGGCATCGAATCCGGCAAAAACAGGAAGCTTTTTGGAGAAAAGAAAAAGAACAGCAGCTATTACATGATAAACAGATGGAAGGTGTAGTATACCTTTTAGACTTAATTTTGGTCCAGTTTTGTATTTCTTTTTATTTTTTAACCAACCTAAAAATATCAAAGGATAAAATAAAGGCTATATTATAAATAACATGTGATATAACTGAAACTAAAGTCAGAATTTTTGTTTGGTTGTTTTAGGAGCCATTCATTGCAGTGGCTATAAGCCAAGCTATTTAGGGTATTTTTATTTCTTGTTAAAATTCTTGAAATGAAAAAGATTATTTTTGAAATGGGAAAAATATATTTGTAAGACTATTGAAAAGTAATTTGTAGCTAGGATATATAAGGATAATAGAGAACCTAGAAGTTTTTTACTTAAGATACTTTACATAATAGGAATAACAAAAGAGAAAATTTACTTAGAATTTCTTCTTTGAAAAATGTAAGAAAGGTAATTAAGAGTTAGCAGCTAAGACTTCCCTATAAACCACTTATATTTACCTTTAAAATTTTGCTTTAGTTGGACAAAAGGGAAGTCTTTTCCTACTTGCCTCACACGCACCTCTACATCTTGATACTGTATTTTGCTACACTGTCCAGCAGGGTAACTTAACTAACTACAAGCTATAGAGGACTTGAAATGTGGCTAGGCATATGCTGTAGGTATAAATTACATGCTAGATTTCAAAAGCTTTACTTGAAAACAGAATTTTAAAAAATTTATTATGTGTTGAAATGATAATATTTTTGGTATATTAGGTTATTTTAGTTGTTTGTTCTTACTTTTTTAATGTGGTTACTAAAAAATTTTGAATTACTTATATGGCTTGCATTGTAATTCTATTGAAAGTGGTGTTCTGTTGTTGCAGTCTGGTAGCTTGACATTTGGTAGTATGAGAATTTTACATTCACATTTTCTTAGTGTTTTTGTCTTTTTCTGTTTCAGAAGAAAAGCAACAGACAGAAAGGGTTACAAAAGAGATGAATGAATTTATCCATAAAGAGCAAAATAGTTTATCACTACTAGAAGCAAGAGAAGCAGACGGTGATGTGGTTAATGAAAAGAAGAGAACTCCAAATGAAACCACATCAGTTTTAGAACCAAAAAAAGAGCATAAAGAAAAAGAAAAACAAGGAAGGAGTAGGTCGGGAAGTTCTAGTAGTGGTAGTTCCAGTAGCAATAGCAGAACTAGTAGTACTAGTAGTACTGTCTCTAGCTCTTCATACAGTTCTAGCTCAGGTAGTAGTCGTACTTCTTCTCGGTCTTCTTCTCCTAAAAGGAAAAAGAGACACAGTAGGAGTAGATCTCCAACAATCAAAGCTAGACGTAGCAGGAGTAGAAGCTACTCTCGCAGAATTAAAATAGAGAGCAATAGGGCTAGGGTAAAGATTAGAGATAGGAGGAGATCTAATAGAAATAGCATTGAAAGAGAAAGACGACGAAATCGGAGTCCTTCCCGAGAGAGACGTAGAAGTAGAAGTCGCTCAAGGGATAGACGAACCAATCGTGCCAGTCGCAGTAGGAGTCGAGATAGGCGTAAAATTGATGATCAACGTGGAAATCTTAGTGGGAACAGTCATAAGCATAAAGGTGAGGCTAAAGAACAAGAGAGGAAAAAGGAGAGGAGTCGAAGTATAGATAAAGATAGGAAAAAGAAAGACAAAGAAAGGGAACGTGAACAGGATAAAAGAAAAGAGAAACAAAAAAGGGAAGAAAAAGATTTTAAGTTCAGTAGTCAGGATGATAGATTAAAAAGGAAACGAGAAAGTGAAAGAACATTCTCTAGGAGTGGTTCTATATCTGTTAAAATCATAAGACATGATTCTAGACAAGATAGTAAGAAAAGTACTACCAAAGATAGTAAAAAACATTCAGGCTCTGATTCTAGTGGAAGGAGCAGTTCTGAGTCTCCAGGAAGTAGCAAAGAAAAGAAGGCTAAGAAGCCTAAACATAGTCGATCGCGATCCATGGAGAAATCTCAAAGGTCTGGTAAGAAGGCAAGCCGCAAACACAAGTCTAAGTCCCGATCAAGGTAGTATACTTTTTAAAGTATTTTGTCTGATTTTTTAAAAAATTTGACTGAATTTATTCAAAGTTGAAAGTGTCCTTTCTCTCTCTCTTTAATAAACTCAGTTTGGTACTTGATAAATAATCATAGTCTTAAATGTTAGAAATCCTATATAATATTATTTATTTAAAATTGCAGATTTTTAGTTTAAAATACATTTTTATTTTTAAATTTTGTCTTTTCCCTTTTTTTTCAGATCAACAACCCCTCCCCGTCGTAAACGCTGAGGAATGATGTGGCAAGAATGCCATGATGTTGTTTAAAAAAATTCCATGAGTTTTAAGGGCTTGTCTCATTATAGAGGCACATTGTGGCTGTGTAGGTGAAACCAGAATCTTTTTTTTTTTTTTAATCTGTAAATAGGTGTACTTTTTCCAATGCTGCTCCAAGTTACTTAATAGGATTTCTTTGTATTACATTTTTTTCAAAAAATATAGTGCATAATAAGACTATAAACATGCCATTCTCTTTCAGCTGTAATGTTCTTAAAATTATTCTTGAATGTACTGTGATGTCAATAAAGCTCTTTAGTTCATTTTTGTTAAACTCTTGCACCTTAATTTTATGGTTTTAATCTAAGGAACGTACTTTTATCAAAAGGCAGCTGGAATTTTGTATAACAGGTTTTAAAGGTACCTTCTCTCACCTCCCCCAAAGAAAATGGTTTTTACTTAATAGTTTGTCAAAGTTTGTAAATTGTACCCATGGACTTTTGTCAGATTCCAACTTTAAGGCTATGAAAGAGGGCTAGAAATAGACCTTTACTTTTCATTTGGAAGTATTTGACAACTTTCTAAACTTTTCTTCCTATTTTGGGGATTTTCAAGTAATATATTCTCTGTGTGTATAACGTGTGGTTCACTCCTGTAAAATGAAATTGCTGGAATCAATCAAGCCAGTGCACCAGTAGAGTTATTTGTAAGGAACGATTGTGTTTGACACTAATAGTCAAGTCTGGAACTATATTCTACAGTCACTTCTGTTTTAGAAGCATTTTGAAACACTTTTTGGGGTTATGGAAATAAGACTCATGATTCAATATATTTATTTATATTTTTAAAGTATAATATGACCTCAAATTAATGGAGGAATGCTGTATTATGCAGGTTTGTGTCAATTTCATGACATTAAAATTGTCTGATTTTGTCCGTTTCTTAAAATTATAATTAGTGAGTGGTCTAACAGTTTAAGGCATTGATAACTTACGAGTAGAATGGGGCTCTCAAAGCATTTTAACTCAGTTGCTTTCAGGGTCCTTTTTTTTTTTATGTAATCACTTATTCAGTGATAAATGAATCTCTGAAAACAAATGCTTTTACATTTTAATTTTAAAAGAAAACAGGTGCAGGCCACAGAAAAGTTTTAAAGTATGCCTTCTTACCAGCAATAGTTAATTTTAAAAATCATGCCAGATTTTTGCCAAGATCAGTGTTTCCTCAACATGAAGATAGAAATAGATTTGTATAGTGTGCTCTTGTACCTCTACATAGGTTATTATATAATTTTGAGCAGTTATACATTTATCTAAAGGAAATAAATCAACTGTGAATAAATGCATGTTTACCAAAATGGCTGTTTACAGTGCATTTAGTTCTGATATTTATAAAGATGACATTTCACAGAATAACTTTAAAATAGTTTGGAATTCTATATAGTCTAGACATCAATCACATCTGGAGACAAAATAAAGGAAAATGTGCAATATTTTTTATGTAGGCGAGCTAACACAGTGTACCTAATTACAGAATTATCTGATTAATTTGTAATAGATAAGTTGTATAACATTTTCATATCTTAAAATGTTTTTTAGATCAATCTTGAAGTGAAATATTATTTTCAAAATAAAATTCTACAGAAAAATTCTGTTGGCTATGATATGCACATTTTTGGGCAAGATACGAACTAGAGCCAAAAGTAGTATTTGACAGTTTTATTTACTCTGCCGTAATTTGCAAGTTTATCAGTTAAATCTGTAGTTTTTTTAAAAGCCGTCATGACATTTGTGATTATTAGTACATAAATCAGTGTTATAATTTGATATTTGGGTTTTTCAGACTTTTAGTGCCAGATTTAGAGAATTCATTATTTTCTTGACATGCGATATAGTATTTACCTTGAGTGGTAAGGTTTTATAAGGTAGGGTTTTCATGATTTAGGATGTGAATGCGAAAACTTACATAAAAGTTAGATGTATAATTTGGTTATGAAATATTTTCTAAAATACCACCACCAGAAAATTAACAGATTAAATTTTTGAGACAATCCTTGGTCTGGATTGGTTAATGAAAATGTCTTCCTTAAGAGGTTCTATTAAAAAAATATTTCTAGTGTGTTAGTTGTAATTGTTTTTGTGGAGTGGGGGTAAACCACACCATTAAGGGAATAAAATGTAATTTGAAAGAGGTGATTATAAGATTTGTTTCAGGCCCCAAAATATAAATAAAAATTGGTGTGGAATCTCATTAGTGTTTATGTTTTCTGCCACTATAAAATTACCTTTTTAGCACGTTTCTAGTGGTGTAATACCAAGTAGGTAAATTTCGCAGTCTGTTTTTAGTGTCCTGAGTTTTTTGTTCCCTTAAACACGTGAAAGGTAATAGTAAAGAATTTTTTTTGGCTGGGTGCGGTGGCTCACGCCTGTAATCCCAGCACTTTGGGAGGCTGAGGTGGGTGGTTCATGAGGTCAGGAGATCGAGACCATCCTGGCTAACACAGTGAAACCCCGTCTCTACTAAAAATACAAAAAATTAGCTGGGTGTGGTGGCCGGCGCCTGTAGTCCCAGCTACTGGTGGGGCTGAGGCAAGAGAATGATGTGAACCCAGGAGACGGAGCTGGCAGTGAGCCGAGATTGTGCCACTGCACTCCAGTCTGGGCGACAGAGCAAGACTCATCTCAAAAAAAAAAAAAAAAACTTTTTATTGTATTTGGGAATTTTTACATAGGAGTTGTATTAGGTTTACAGTCCCTGTAGTGTTGCCTTATGGAAATCTTTACATCTTAACTGAGTTTTTCTTCTCTTAGATAAACTTAAATGTATTTATTGAAGTTTCTAAAATGTACTGAGTACAGTCATATACCACATAACGACGTTTCAGTCAGTGACAGGCCACATATACAACAGTGGTCCCATAAGATTATAATGTGGTATTTTTCTGTACCCTTTCTGTGTTTAAATACGCAAAACCATTGTATTACAGTTGCCTGCGGTTTTCAATATAGTATTTGTAGCCTAGGAGCGATAGGCTATACCATGTAGCCTGGGTGTGTAGTAGTCTATACCATCTAGGTTTATGTAAGTATACTCTATGATGTTCACATCACAATGAAAGCACCTAATTACACATTTGTCACATGTCCCCAAGTTAAGCAATATATGACTGCATAGTTACTGTTTTTTGGTTTTTGCGATGGAGTCTTGCTGTCGCCCAGGCTGGAGTGCAGTGGCGCAATCTTGGCTCACTGCAACCTCCACCTCCTGGGTTCAAGTGATTCTCCTGCCTCAGCCTCCTGAATAGCTGGGATTACAGCACCCGCCACCACACCTGGCTAATTTTTGTATTTTTAGTAGAAACGGGGTTTCGCTATGTTGGCCAGCTGGTCTCGAACTCCTAGTCTCAGGTGATCCACCCGCCTTGGCCCCCCAAAGTACTGGGATTACAGGCGTGAGCCATCGCTCCCAGCCGACTGCGTAAATGGAAGTATTAAGAGTCATTGGATTGAGCTGGCTCTGTTTCTTGATGTGTTTTAGGCAAATCACTAATCACCATGGGCCTTAACTTATTCAGCTGTAAGGGAGGAATTAGATGCGGTTTTTGTTTTGTTTTGGGATGGAGTCTCACTGTCACCAGGCTGGAGTGCAGTGGCGTGATGGCTCTGCAACCTCCGCCTCCCGGGTTCAAGCAACTCTCCTGCCTCAGCCACCCAAGTAGCTGGGACTACAGGCATGTGCCATTATGCCCAGCTAATTTTTGTGTTTTTAGTAGAGACAGGGTTTCATCATGTTGGCCAGGATGGTCTTGATCTCTTGACCTCGTGATCCGCCTGCTTCGGCCTCCCAATATGCTGGGATTGCAAGTGTGAGCCATCGCACCCGGCCAAATTAGATTATTTCTAAACACATCCAGCTGTTAAGTTTTTCAGTTTTAAGTGGAATTTGGTTGTAATGTGTAAAATTTAAAAGAGAAAATGGGCTTTAGCTCTTTAAAAAGCACACATGGGTTATATTTATACCATAAAGGTTTATCAGATACCTGTAGAGTTCCTTTAAAGATACTTTGGTTAAATCTGCCACATTCTGATTTTGGTAGTTATGATAGAATTATTCTGAGTTACCAATTTATGTAAAATTTTTAAGTAAATGTGAAAACTTACCAGTTAAACTAGTGGTATATCTTTTTTTTCTTTTCTTTTCTTTTTTTTTGGAGACAGAGTCTTGCTCTGTTGTCCAGGCTGGAGTGCAGTGGTGTGATCTAGCTTACTGCAACCTCCACCTCCCAAACAATTTTCTTGCCTCAGCCTCCCAAGTAGCTGGGATTACAGGCTTCCATCACCATGCTCAGTTAATTTTTGTATTTTTTGTAGTAGAGGTGGGGTTTCACCATATTTGCCAGGCTGGTCTTGAACTCTTGACCTCAGATGATCCGTCCACTTCGGCCTCCCAAGGTGCTGGGATTACAGGCATTAGCCTCTGCACCCAGCTGTTTATGATTTCAAAGCTACAAGGGAGCACTTTACCCTTGGATGAAAAGAAAAAATGTTTGTAAAATTGAATTACAAAATAGACATTAAGAGTTTTATGGCAGAATAAATATGTAGACTCTTACAGGTGAGATCATAATAATAGTCTGGGGAAGTATCTCCAACAATGGCCATATGCTGCATTACAGCCAATACAACTTTCCAATACCACTTAGGTTTAAGAGTCATTGGGAAAACCTTTTGTTGATGTTTGTAGCGAGAAGTACTATTAGCTAGTTTTGCTTATCTGGGCCAGACTAGTTCTGGGTGTTCAAAAGACATACTTCTTGTCAGCATTAAGGCAAATTATTGATTCCCTTTCTTGTTAAACTGAAAATGTATTGGAAAGGCTTTGAAGCCCATTGAAGTGTGGTACATTCAAAGTACGTACGTACAAAGCTCCTAGAACTTTATCATGCTTGTAGTTTGCTTTTTCCTTGGATGTGTCATTCCAATAAATGTAACACATGCTACATTTTCTTTTGTGCAGAGCTTTCTGCCTTCATGTGGAGAGATGATCATGTATCTAAGGGTAGAGGAGCTCTGAAGAGGACATAGCAACTGAAAAGTGCGACCACTCTTAGGAGGAGGTCAATATTTTAGCTAAGAACCATAAATGAAAGACTATTCCTGTCTGGGTGGGGTGGCTCACACCTGTAATCCCAGAACTTTGGGAGGCTGAGGCAGGCAGATCACCTGAAGTCAGGAGTTTGAGACCAGCCTGGCCAACACGGTGAAACCCTGACTGAAACTACAAAAATTAGCCGGGAGTGGTGGCATACACCTGTAATCCCAGCTACTCAGGAGGCTGAGGCACGAGAATCACCTGAGCCTGGGGGTGCGGAGGTTGCAGTGAGCTGAGATAGTGCCACTGCACTCCAGCCTGAGCAACAGAGTGAGGCTGTCTCAAAAAAAAAAAACAAAAAACAAAAACTATTCCTGAATGGTAAATTTCACTAATTGAAAGAACCCTTTACCAATTTGACCCTGCCTGTTGAAAATACGGAATATTTTTTTGTCTTCAATGTTGGAGATTTGTCATTGTTCTTGCCCAAAGAAAGACTTTTTGTGCATTTAGAGGTAGAATGTTACTGATCACTGTTCCTAGGTCTAAATGAAGTTTGCCTAGACGGAGCCACAAACGCCTCCTACTACATGATGTATATACCCGGTACAGGATAATAGTCATTTGCAGAAAATAAGTTTTACATTTGGCCTTCTGGCCATCTGATATTTGAGTGCCTTGAAAGGAGAAAGAATTCTTCCCTTGAGGAAGACGTGCTCCCATACTTTTGCGATTCTTAGCATTAGGGTCAGCGTCTTACAGGAATATAAAAGTCCTTGAAGAGACATCTGTTAAGTGTGAAATAGAGCTACATGGCAATAAAAGATCACACAGCACAAAGTAATGGCCTGATTGAGGTCAACTTTGAACATGAGGTTTCAGGTGGTCTTATAGAAATAAAGGATCTTCAAAGTTTATGATAGTAAAAATATCTTACAGTTTCATCGCATGTACAGTTTGCTAGATGAGCGTGAAAGTATAGCCATACATACACAACACTCGATACAATCATGAAAGTTGGCTGCAGGCCAGGCGCGGTGGCTCACGCCTGTAATCCCAGCACTTTGGGAGGCCAAGGCGGGTGGATCACCTGAGGAGGTCAGGAATTGGAGACCAGTCAACATGGAGAATCGCTTGAACCCGAGTGGCGGAGATTGCAGTGATCCCAGATGAGGGACTGTACCCCAGCCTGGGCAACGGAACAGACTCCGCAAAGGAGAAAAAGTCGGCTGCAGAGGGCGAAAGTGGATCTCGGAACCTCTATGTTGGGGATCTTTTTTCGAGAGGGACCGGAAAAGAGGTGGGATCGTTTGTCGCGATGTGGGGCGGCGGTAAGCTGGGCTCCTCGGGGGGTTGGTTTTTAAGAGTGCTGGGGCCCGGAGGCCGTAATACAAAAGCTGTACGTCATCTAATTTCCTCGGTGGGTGAGTGGGTGCGGAGGTCCCTCGCATGCAGTCCATTGCGCGGGCTCGCAGCTCTGCGCATGCGCTGGGGGTGGGGCGGTGGGTTGTAGCTGGAGCTCGCGAGGGGTCAGCGCGAAACCTGAGGCTTGGCCCTGGTCCCAGCTCTCTCCATTGTAAACCTGGCATAGTCCCCTTGGCGGACGTCGGGGTAAAGAACTCAGTACCAGTGGTCCTGTCTGGAAAAGCGCAGGCCGCGGGTGTCTCGTGGCTGAGCTCCTTGCCCCAGGAGCCGGAGACCCACTCTGCGTGTGCTGCGGTCTTGAAGGTCATGCATCTTTCCTTTGTCGGGGCAGGAGTAACTCGCGCCTCGTAGTTATGCATAGCTTTGTATCTGTGTTTTGTTTGCACAAAGCTTGCTGTTTTTTCAGAAAGAATTTAAGGCAGCTGTACTACTTTTTGATTAATAGGTTAATTCAACAGACTGCATTTGCAAATGAAATCAAGAAAATAACGCACTGCTCCGTGCTTGTAGACAGTCTGATTTTCGAACTCTCAGTGTTAAGTAGAAACAAGCTCATCTTTTACATGGAACTCTTAACAAATACTGTATGCCAGACACTGTTATGAGCACTGGGAATTTAGAAATGAATGACGCCTCAAGGATCTCTTTTAAAATGTTAGGATAGACCTAAGATCAGGATATAATGAACAAAAAAATGGAGAATCTAACCGCCCATTAATAAAGGTTATTAGTTGGTACTATCATACAGTGGAAAAATAGTGCAGCCAATAAAAATGATTTAAATCTATTTGTATCCACATGGAAAAATAATAAGATATAGTGTTAAGAAAGTAAAGTTTCATTGTTTCCTGGAAGAAGCCAAAAACAAAAAAAAGTTACAAATCAGTATGGATAATGAACTTGGAGTTATAGGTGGAGATATATAGAGAAATTTTGCAGTGATTGCCTGTGGTAGAGTAGGTGATTTTCTGTCATTTTATCCTTTATATGCTTTGCTTTTAATGAACTTTTTTTTAGTAAACGTATGTGTCTTTTATAATCAAAAATTTAGAAAAGATACAGTAAACCTAGTTCCAGTTTTTGAGGGGTGAACATAGAAGGAGCCTCTAATCCATAACTGGGATCAAGGAAACTTCTTGAATGGGATATTTAGCGAAATCCTGAAGGAGGTGGTCAGTTTTAGAAGCAGTTGGCCAAGGCAGGCAGCTCACTTGAGGTCAGGTGTTCGAGACCAGCCTGGCCAACATGGCGAAACCCCATCTCTACTAAAAATACAAAATTAGCCGGGCGTGGCAGTGGGCGCTTGTGATCCCAGCTACTGGGGAGGCTGAGGCAGGAGAATCGCTTGAACCTGGGAGGCAGAGGTTGCAGTAAGCCAAGATCACGCCATTGCACTCCAGCCTAAGCAACAGAGTAAGACTCTATCTCAAAAGAAAAAAAAAAAAGCAGTTGGAAAGGGGAAAGAATCTGGGCTTGAGAATCTGTGAGAAAGTTTGTGAGTAACCACAAAAGGTTCCTTGAAAAGTAAAATTTGTAGGTGGAGGGCCGGAGGTAAAGGCAGGGGGTGGCAAGGGATGAGGCAAGAGGCCTTTTTGTCCATGACACATTCATGAAAGGCCAGGCACACCTCCTGAGGTACACTATCCTGCGGACAGTGGAAATTACTGAAGAAGCAACATGAGCAGATTTATGTTTAGGAAATAACACTTGGCAGCTGTCTATATAGCTGTCTTCACAGCTGTCTACATAGAAAGTGGGACGGAAGCAGGCAAGTCTAGGCCCAGGAAGACCTTAGAGTAATCCAGACAATAAATTATGATTGCTGGAAATAAAATATTGGCAGGGTAAAAGTCTGTTACCTGTTTTATTCACCATCAGCATGGTGCCTGGTGGGTGCTGAATGACTTTTCAATAAATAAAATGAAAAAAAGCCTTTTCCCATTCCTTTAAAATCTCAAATACCAGGATGATCACAGATTCAAGGTAGAGAAGGAATTGGTAGCATTCTGTTTAAATATAAACTCAATTACTCTCTTTCAGTTGTGGTCAGATGGTAGAGTTGTTTTTATTTTTACTTTTTAGATTAATTAATTATTTTTTCGAGACAAGGTCTTGCTCTGTACCCCAGGCTAGAATGCAGTGGCATGACCACAGTTCATGGCAGCCTTGGCCTCCCTGGCTCAATCGGTCCTCCCACCTCAGCCTCCCAAGTAGCTGGAACTACAAGCAGGCACCACAATGCACAGCTAATTTTTATATTTTTAGTAGAGAAGGTGTTTCACCACATTGTCTAGGCTGGCCTTGAATTCCTGGGCTCAAGCGGTCCACCCACCTTGGTCTCCCAATGTGTTTGGATTACAGGCATCGAGCCACTGCATCTGGTCTAAGGTGGTTTTTAAACCTCTTGAGAATTGTAGCAATACTGATAACTTAGGGATTCATTTTCCAGAAATAGAGGAGGTAAGAGAGAGATCAGGGGTTTTCTGTCTGTAGAAGGCAGATATTGTTAAAATTTCTAAGGCTTAGTTTCATAATAGTAATACCTTATATGTCCTCATCTATGTATCACAGTTTATATAGTTAAACTTTATTCTTTAATAATATTTCATCTATCTACCTAAAGTCATACAGCAGGTGATATTTGAACTGGGTCTTAAAAGGTAGTCCAGATAGAGTTGGTGGAAAAGGAAATAAAATGAACAAAAGCCAGGCGGAGCACCTTTAATCCCAGCACTTTGGGAGGCCGAGGCAGGTGGATCACTTGAGCTGAGGAGCTTGAAACCATCCTGGGCAGCATAGCAAAACCCTGTCTCTACAAAAAAAAAAAAAAAATACAAAATTTAGCTGGGCATGGTGGTGTGCTCCTGTGGACTTCGCTACTGAATAGGCTGAGGTAGGAGGATTACTTGAGCCCGGGAGGTAGAGGCTACGGTGAGTCATGAACGCACCACTGCACTCCAGCCTGGGCAACACAGCTGGACCCTGTTTCATAAGTAAGTAAATAAGTAAATAAATAAATAGATAAAATGAGCAAAAGCCTAGACACATGAACTTTATTAAAAAAGAACATTGTAATGAATTTGGGATGGACTGTGAAGGGCTGATTAAAAAATAAAACCAAATAAATATAAGCTCAGGAGAGAAGTGTGCAGAGACTACAAAAAGACAAAATGTGAAATATAAATGACCATTAAACTTAAGAAAAGATGCTTAACCTCACTCATGATAGATTGAAACTACATTAGCTGGGCATGGGGGCCTAAGTTTATAGTCCCAGCTACTCTGGAGGCTGAGGTGGGAGGATCGCTTGGGCGATGTTGGCGGAGGTTGTAGTGAGCAGAGGTTTTGCCACTGCACTCCAGCCCAGGTGACAGAGTGAGACCCTGTCTCAAAAACAAAAACAAACTAATTAAAACTACACTAAGATATCATTTTCATGTATTTGATTAGCAAACATAAAAATGTTTAACATAGGCTGGGTACTGTGGCTCAGGCCAGCACTTTGGGAGGCCAAGGCGGGTAGATCACAAGGTCAAGAGATCGAGACCATCCTGGCTAACACGGTGAAACCCCGTCTCTACTAAAAATACAAAAAATTAGCCGGGTGTGGTGGCAGGTGCCCGTAGTCCTAGCTACTCGGGAGGCTGAGGCAGTAGAATAGCGTGAATCCGGGAGATGGAGCTTACAGTGAGCCAAGATCGCGCCCCTGCACTCCAGCCTCGGCGACTGAGTGAGACTCTGTCTCAAAAAAAAAAAAAGGTTAACACATTGTATGGGTGACAGTGTGGGAAAACCAACATGAGACACTCTCATATATTACCCAAAGGAGTGTAAATTGGTTCAACATCTATTTAGTGGCAATTACAGATTTACAAATGCACATACCCTTTGACATCATTCTTGAAATTTTACCTACAGGGACTCTGAAACACATATGAAATGAAAAAAACCTATGTCATTTAATCTCTAGTTGTTGTTGTTGTTGTTGTTGTTGTTTTGAGACAGAGTCTCACTCTTTTGCCCAGGCTGGAGTGCAGTGGCGTGAGCTCGCCCACTGCAATCTCCACCTCCCAGGTTCAAGTGATTCTTGTGCCCCAGCCTCCCGAGTAACTGGGACTACAGGTGCTCACCCGGCCCTAATCTCATAGTGTTGATAATTACCCAAATGCCCATCATTAGGGAACTCCTTAAATAAATAATATAGCCACACGATGAATTAGCACGTAGCCTTTTAAAAAATATGAAATAATTTCCAAGATATGTTGGTAGGTGAGGAAAAACATTCAGAAGAATGAGTGTATTATGCTACATTTTATATAAAATGAGAAACTGATACTTTAAAATGATTGTGTATGTATAAAATGCCTCTGGAATCTTACATACAAATCTAGTAAGATCGGTTGTTTGTAGGGAGAGAAACTAGATAGCTACAGTCAGGAGTAGGAAAGATACTTTGTAGTGTACCCTTTTGTACTTTCTGATTTTTTAAATTTTTGATTTTGAAATAATTTCAGACACAAGAAATGGCAAAAATAGCACAGAGAGGCTGGGTGCAGTGGCTCATGCCTGTAATCCCAACACTTTGGGAGGCCGAGGCAGGCGGATCACTTGAAGTCAAGAGTTTGAGATCAGGCTAGCCAACATGGTAAAAGCCTGTGTCTACTAAAAATACAAAAAGTTAGCCAGGCATGGTGGCGTGTGCGCCTATAGTCCCAGTTTCTTGGGAGGCTGAGGTGGGAGAATCACTTGAAACTGGGAGGCGGAGATTGCAGTGAGCTGAGATCATGCCTCTTCAGTCCCATTTGGGCGACAGAGTGAGACCCTGTTCCCCCAAAAAACAAAACAAAACAAAACAAGAACCCCAAACACACAGAGAGAATTTCCATATACTATTCACCCAGTTCCTTGGTGATACCATCCATAGCACGTTGTTGAAGCCAGGAAATCAACTTTAGTATAATTGACTCCACTACAGACCTTATTTGGTTTATGCCACCAG